CAGAACTCCTCATACAGAGCGCAGGCGATCAAGCAGCGCTCAAAGAGGATGCGAACCCTGTGGTCGTCATGGGCATCCGCAGCATCCTCGGATGCTTCCTGAGGCTGGGCTGTGACCTCTGACCCCTCTGTGGCTGCCTCGCTTGGATCTAGGAGGCAACAATGGTGTCAGAACAGTGGAATTTGTAGAATTCAGGATTCAGGTGACAGCTGACAGTATCTTCAGTATGTAGTCACCTTGGCTGGGGTCTCTGGTTTCCTTGTTCAACTGAGCGATCTCCCAGTCCAGGTAGGTGTGCCAGGCCCGCAGCTGGAGGCGGTCGAGTGGCTTGACGTGGAAGTATGGACGTTTGATCTATAAATTAGAGAAAAAGATATCAGACAGCAAGTGATGAAAGTGAAAAAAGACAACAGAATATTTCTAAGAAAAAATTCAGATTCTAAATCTTTTGTAAAAAACACTATTCAAAAATGCCTCTATAGAAAAATGTGTTATGTTGTCGTGTCAGGGTATCCAACGTAGAGGGCTAAACCCAGCGCTAGATTTAGAACAAAGTGCTTGGAAAATTTGTCATGCCTTGGTTCGAGTTTCCAAAGCAACAGAAAGACAGCAAGAGAATAAAATACGACAGACTTTATTGATCCCACACTGGGGAAATGTGCTTGTTATGGAGGGATGAGAGAGGGAGGGAAAAGCAGAAAGAAATGTAAACTAACGCTGTGGAGTAGAAAGAGAAAAAAAACTCACAGCATCTTCAAGGTGCCATCTCTTGCGGACTTCTCCCTCGTTGTCCTGGTACACTTTGTCCCTGCTAACCAGCACTTGTTCCCTGATCTTCTGCATCAATTCCTCCTAAACACGTCAAAATAATTAGCATATATTTGTTTACATCCTCATTACACAGCAATCCTGTCAGGGTTGAGTGTGAGGCTGTTGGATGTTACTCACTGTGTCCGTGCCCTCAGGTGTGGCGGGCTCTTCCTCCCCAGGCGGCCTCTCCTCCTCCTCCTCCTGGGCCTGTTCCGCACGCTCAGCCTTCTGACTCTGACGGCACAACGTCCTCAGCTCCTCGTACTCCTCTGGGGGAAGCACATCTTTGGGCTCGTGGCCGTTCAGGTGTTCCTTGAACCTGATTGGAGAGGGCAGACGGGGGAGACGGAGCCAGACGCAAAATGAGATTAATGGGAGAAGAAAAGAGAGAAAAAGAAAGGAGTTCAGGTAAGAGGAGAATATTCAACCTGGCACTCACAATAATAAAAGATGAGTATTTCTGTCTTCTATAAATTTAATTTTTTGATTTTAGATTGCCTTACACACTCACTCGGCCCCTGTGTGTGTGTGTGGTCTTACTTGTCGTAGTGGGTGTTGTAGAGCTGGGTGGGGACTTTGAGGACTCTGTCCAGGACGGCTGTTGCGTTCTTCATGTTCCCCTGCTCCTTCTCCCACTCAATATAAAGATCCCAAAGCCGGTCTGAGTGGAAGTCCAGGCCTGCTGCCTGAACCGCATCCTCGAAAACCCTGTGGGTTGAGGTGGGAAAACGATTGAAACGGCTTTCATAGACAGCAACTTATTTTCCTGATACATTCTCTCCAATAGCTCTATATACATATAGTATGTCTGTGCTGTAAAGGAGCATAAAACAACAACAGTTAAAAAGTCTTAAAATGTGTTAGAGTGTTTATCCACCTGCGAATCCGTGTGGGCGACTCAGGCAGGTTCATGTCCAGTGTTCCCAGCAGCAGATTGATGTAGTGGATCCACAGATCTACACTCAGAGGGATTAACTGCAGACCCTGAACACACACCTGACACAACACACCACAAACACATTAGCTCATAAAACCCAGTGAAAACGCTTCCTTAATACGCTTAAAATGTATTTAACTGTGTAGGAAGAAAGACAGAATTGTAAACTCTCTCTACTGTTTTACCTCTTCTGCTTTGTTGTTGTACCCGGCACGGCGCTCCAGATCAGCAAATTTCTTCCAGTAGCCGTAGCAGAGCGGGTAACGAGCGAGGAAGGCTTCTAGTGCTCTGCGTGACGCTGTGATGTGACTCTGAACAGATGAGAGAAAAATTAAGTCCTTAAGGCTACAGCAAACTTACAGACCAGCATGCTTTGTGGCCTCATGGGGGTGCTAGAAGTCAATATTTCAAAGTTTGAGGTGGTAATGCATCATCATTGAGGGACTATATGTTTGGACCTCATTGGTTCTCTTGTCTCTTTAGTCAAAACAGCAAAAACGCACCTCTTGCTCGCAGTACTGCAGCAGGTCGGTCCAGCTGGTGAAGTCTTGAGGATTGTCGTGGGCGGCCTTCCACAGACGCTCAAAGTCTGCAGGCAACTCTCCCTCCTCGTCTTCTGCAGGTGGAGGCATGGAGAAGGAATCCGGCTGGGGGCCTAAGGGGACCTCAGGGGTTTCGGCGGCACTGCCGTTCTCTTCTGACATCTCTACCATCTGAGTCGGAGGTGATGCAGGAACCTCAGAAGCCTCCATCACTAAAGAGGGGGAAGATCAAAAGGTAAATAAGTCAAACAATCTCCATTTACATCACTGAAAGGCATTATACAGGTAAGCCCCTCTTGTTTGCTACGTTTCACCAAAACTTAAGTTATGGCTGAAGAGTGACTGGAAAGTGGGGAGAGAGAGACGGGATGACACACAGCAAAAAAAAATAACTACATCCAGGCGCCACAGTCAGTCATTTAAATGTTCGCTCAACCTGTGGATCAAAAAACTGATTTCAACATGATACAGCTATTTTCACACAACATTAAATGACTGAGAATTTTGCAGTTTGCTGTGACGTTGTTGTACTCGCTGTATGATGAATTGTATTAAACCTCGCTCTGCTTTTCCTTCCCATTACTCGACCGTAATGAGGTTTGGTGGCAAAGGAAACAGACACTTCAGTGCTTCTGTTATTTTTTCTTACTATGTGAATGACAAAACCAAGAAAAACCTACAGAAGCACTGAGCACACTCTTACTTGTTTATTTGGTCGGGATAAAACATTTGACATCTATCTTGTTTTTTTTGTTTTGTTTTGTTTTTAAATGGAGATTAAACACACAAAAAAATATCTAAAGCAAACATCAATGTAATCTGATGTAATGAACTCTCCAGTCCCTCTGGTTCCTGGAGAGGTTTGTGGAAAAGGACCTACAGGTGTCCTCACAAAAACAACAACAACCCACACTGTGTACACACATGCTACAATTATTATTATCACAAACAATAATAAAAACAAATTACAAGTGAATCAGTCAGACAACCTTTAAGATTCTGGTGGATTTGGTGTGACTGGTTATTTAAAACGTTTAATCTTTTACATATTATTATAGATATAAACTGTTTCATCAAACCACAGAGTCTGCTCTTACTCTATAAACACCACCTGTGCAGCAGACCTGCAGACCTCGGCTGGGTTTCATTCATAAAAAGCTCAGTACACAGACGGGTTTGTTCTCGCGGACCTTTGGGTCGATGTCGGCTTAATTAAACGTTAATTACACACACACACACACACACACACACACACACACACACACACACACACACACACACACAGAGACACACACACACACACACACACACACACACACACACACACACACACACACACACACACACACACACAGATGTAAGGTAGTTAACAGAGCACTGTGCTGTGAGGTTTGAAATTACGTTAGCCTAGCCTAGCTGCTCATGCTTGCCCCCCACAAACCGGTCCGACCGGAACCTTTTATTAAAAAACGTTTGCAGGTGAAACAGAAGCCCGGCGACGTCTACGAAACGACACAAGCGTATATTTTAAAGTCATTAACGTGATTCAAACAACCTGAAGACTCCTCGAGCTCCCCGTTGCCGCTCATCTCCTCACAGCCCTCCGCCGCCATGATGGAAAACGTCTCGCTTACGTCATTAACGCGCGACTACACAGTGATGACGGTAAATCAACCGACTGACTGTTTCTGGTCACCGAGCAACCGACGGTCGTTTTGGGCACTGTGGATTAATTCATTAATTATGGATTAATTCATTATGATCGATGAATTGTGACTTCGATTTATTAAAACAAACACACATTCTCACATATTTGTACATTTAATTAATTTATAAAATCTTTCTGTATCTTGTAATGATGAACTTTATGTGTCATACAAATAAGGTCATTGTCTACTTGAGGGGGGTTTAAGTCGGACACTACCTCTGGTCTACATCATCCCTTTTTCTTTCCTGTAAATAAACCACAAACACACCCAGCAGCAGTTTTTAAGATGTCCACAGTTGATAAAAGGATCCCAGGTATTGGCGGATTAACTTTAATCATTTACTTTCTCCACGAGATAAAGACTTCACTACTTAAGTTATTACCTGATATGTAATTGTGACATACGTCTCTGATCCTGCCCTACTTTCATTAGAAAACACCCACTATAACTTTATCTGCAACACATAATGTGCTTATTAAACCCTCAATTACTGTTCACAACCTCTTTACCACAGCACGACACCACAAGAGTCCCTGCAGTGAAAATGTGAAAATAGTCTGATATTAAAACTATAATCATTGATGAGCACCCTATGGAAGTTATATTGTCTTTTCCACCACCTAATTTAACTACATACATTCAGCAGATCTGGCTATGGTTGCTTTGTGTGTCGTATGTTATTTACTGCATCTTGGTTTTTTAATTTTATGATGAATAAAAAGGGGAAAGGGGAAAATACATGTTTATGGTTGGATTTTCTTAACTTACTGTCTGTATTGTGTCCCACAAAGCTGCATGTTAACAGAGCAACTGGGCTCAGTAGTGTTTAAAGTCTTTAAGCTTTAAGCAAATGATTGCTTTAAAAATCTCTCTCTGAAACCTTTTACTTTTAGAAAATGTGACACAGACCCAAACAAACATGAATACAAACAACAAATATCTCATTAAATGACAGAAATGTAGTCAGGAAGGAACTCTCTTAATTAAAGCAAAACCAGGGACTTCTTTTACATTTGGTCAACTTTATTTTCACTTGGTCTCATCTTATTACGTCTGACAACTTTGATTGACAGCTGAAGTCTGTTCCTTCACTTCTGTTTCCACCAATTCAAGCCATCATCAACAAAACTGTAGCAACACGTATATTTATGATCATAAAAACAATCAAGGAGACAAACTCAACAACAAAACTCCTAAAAAGGTCTGATGATTTGACTAGTCAGGACCGAATCCAGAGCCTCCAGAGAATAATTTGAAAATTCACGACTTCTCAGTGCGCACGTGGATATTTGCAAGTGAAACACCTTTCAATGATTAGATTTATTTTAGATCTAAATGACACACTGGAAATCCTGGACGATCCCGACATCTAGTAACACATGAAAATCTAAACAACTTTTTTTAAGTTCTCTCTCTCTTCCTCAAGTGCATTAAAAAATAATCTAGTAAACAACGCTGGAAAAAACAACTCCATAAAACAAAGAAAGCACGTCGACAGGATGATCCACAAACATAAAGTGGTTCAGTCCCCTGCAGCGATTCCCCACTGACAAGTTTGTTCAAAAGAACGGCTGAAAATCCCCTCTGTGCAGCAGTTGAACGACCTGATCGCCTCCACCGTGAAGCAATGACTCATTTCCACGCACACAAACTCATCACCGACAAACTCGGGGAGAGGCTGAACATTAAAGAACTAGCCAGGATTGGATTAGAAAGATGATGTCTTTCCATTTTGTGGCATCAACAAATGTTAAGTACTGCAGGATGAAATGTGTAGAGCCACGCAGAGGACTGATGGCAAGCTCTCTCCAAATATATATATGAAACGTGGCACAAGTAGACGGTTGAGCTGATTCAAGTGCTTGGCTTACAAAAGAGGGATGGAATGATTTTTTTTTAGTATCAAGTCAGGGACAGATACAGGGAATCACCAGCAGGTGGAGCATGTGCCTTGAATGTGAACCTTCATTTTGAATTGCAAACAATCACCCCACAGTGATCTTTCCTCTGAGGCAGACTGGATGGACAACCAGGTGGACATTTCAAAAAACAAAAAGTGCCTGAATAGTTTTTTTTTTTTTTTCTCTCCTTTCTTTCTTTCTTTAAACCCCAATGATTCATTACAATGACATGATTTGAGTTGCTCAGCTGTCATCTATCTGAAAAATGTGACAAACTTAATTATCTATCTAGTAGTAACTCCGTTGTGTTAGGTATTACAGTGTGACTGAACACAAGAGGGACATGGCAGAGACGTTAATGTGGCTCAGATCGACTAACAGGTCTGTATGCGTGTGTATGTGTTTTAATGTATTGTGTGTGTTCTTTTATTTTCCATTGTGGCTGTCCTGTTGTCTTGCTTTAGGTTAGTCGTAGGTATCAGCGCCTTGTTTCTGTTCAGTCCAGTTCAGTAATTTTCTCCTCGTCTCCATGGTTACTGAAGCGTCACGGTCCAGTCTACCCCTGCGTTCATGCCGGGCTTGCGGAGCGTCAACACAGACATGGAGGCATCAAATTCAAACTCCAGCTGGCTCTCTTGTCCACCTGCAGAAGAGGAGAGACGGTATTAGAGAAAGTAAGGAGAACAAGGTCCGTGAATCTCACCCCAAACATCTCACATAACCACACACATAATCTTTAAAACAAGAAGGGATAAGAACTTTGTTTTCTGACTCTCAGCCAGTCAAGCTGCACTTCAACAACCTCTGCGAAACAGCACCCAGGCTGAAATCCTTTAAAGTAATTTAATCATGTCTACGTCACAAGACACAGACATCTGTGTGATCAACCAACAGAAGCTATCGACAACTGTTTCTGAAAGTCTAACAGTCAAGAATCACCCTCTCTCTCTATCAGCACATTAAAGTCACCAAGATCGCCTTCTTCCACCTGTGTAACATACCTAAATTATTTTTTGTCCATGACTGATGCTGAGATCTTAATTCACACCTTTTTTTCATCCAGACTTGATTATTGTAATGCTGCTTTGTTATCTGGTCTGCTGCTTTCTAGCACTACAAGTCTCTAAATGGTTCAAAATGCTGCAGATACAGTGAACTACAACCAGACTTCTGCTTCTGATGAATTACAAAACTTCTTATCCATCCAATCTCACTAAACCTCATGTCCCATCCTGTGTTCTCAGAATACTACAGAGTCTGGAATAACCTTCCTGCTGACAGCAGACAACCAGTCTCAGTCGATGCCTCTAAATCCAAACTTCAGGCCTCGCACCTGGATTTGTCCCTGTTAAAAAGGGGTCGAATCGAAGGGCTTAGTACAGAGGATGCTGAATGTTGTACAGATTGTAAAGCCCCCTCAAGCTAATTGAGATTTGGGATTTTGGGCTATATAAATAAAATGTGACCCGACTTTGAAGTGTGACCACAGCCAACCCTTTCACGGCCATTTTCCGACTTTTCACACACCGCTGTCTGGAGAAGCTTAAGTGCACACAAAGTAAAATTGTCCACACAAAATGGCTTCAAGACTGAGCAAAAACATTTGGTAGTACAACCTGAGAAAGTAAGTCGTAGCAGTAGTTGACATGACAGCTAAAGGTAAAAGGAGAAATGAGAAGCCAAGATGATTCATGAGTAATGAATGAATTCAATTACCTGTATTAACACGTTTTAATTTGGCACAAACAACAGGGGCGGATTTACTTCCATGCTGCCTTATTTACTGTATAGGAGAAACTTACAAACTATTTAACAACCATCTCTTCTGCTTCTTTTATTACTGTGTTCACATTAATTCAACTTCCATCCAGTCTTTTAACTCAGTCCTATAAAACCTGCTAAACTGCCTCTTGCAAAAACCACTAGAGGCCATTTTAAGATTCCTCCGAGCAGAAATGAGTCAACCTGTGAGAATTGTGTTCAGAAAAATGTGAGAGAAATGCTGTGAACGACACTCACCAGCAGTCTTAAGGGTGACCTTGCTGGGCTTACTGGCTCCCAGTATGACAATGCGTTCGATCCAGGAGCGGGTGGAAAACTGGGCCTCTGGAGCCAAGTTACTGTGGACCAAGCAGGGACATGGATTTAATACGCAAGAGGTTTTACAGTACAAAAATGATCAAGCACCCCTAGAAGAGAAAGAATAAATGGTTCCCCACTTCTATGCCGATTCCTACTGTTGCTGTTTTTCTTTAACATTTAATGTCTACAGTAGTCTTACTGTGCTTTTATTGTGTTAAATATGTACTGAAATATCTACAGCTGAAAGTGGATTTTTACTTAAATAGAGTATTCTACTCAACTAGAACTGAGAAAATTAATCACTTACGCAGAAGAAAGGATGTTTTTGGCAAACGACAGGCTCCTGTGGATGAACTCCTTCTTTTCATAGTTGAAGGTGTGGCCATCGTCTATGTAGAGCTCCCCCTCCGCAGTTCTCTGTGAGACAAAAGGTCAGAGCTCAAGTATGACAACGCCACTTGGCACGCAAATATGTCAAAATAGCAGCAGATGACAGTTGTGTCTTACAGCAGTTATCTGGGTTTGTACAACAGTTACCTGAGGGTTGAGAGCCACATATAAAGTGTAGGGATCGTGCTCCATGCAGGTGGAAGACCTGCGAACTCGAAGCTTCCTGGGAATAATGGAGCCGCCACGCTGGAATACGGGGATCTGAAAAGAAGTCAGAAAGCTCCTCGTTAAAACCAAAGGATAAAGGTTGTGGAGGGCGTTGAAATGTAGAAATGTTAAATTACTGCCAGTCATCTTTGTGTGTCTTACAGAGCTCATGGTGACAGGAATGTAAAGGTTCTGGGCTCCGTTGTGCTTTTGGAAAGTGTGGACGTCAAACCAAACCTGAGAAACACACACACACACACACACACACACACACACACACACACACAGGTTAAGAGAGAGCAGTTGTATTACTGACACCATGTCTTATAAAAAGACCTTTTTCTTGACAGAAAGATCCAGTAACTGTCATCTTACCTCGTCTTTGCCAGGCAGGTAGGCGGTGACTCCCCTGGCTCCCTCCTCAGTAACTGGGTGCACCAACAAATCTCTCCCTGCAGCAGAGTTGAGTAACGTCAGTGGATTTGATCATTTTGAACCACGTCTGCCTTATTTTAACAATTTTATAGTTTTTAATTCTAGTTTGTCGATCAACAAAAGTGATCCACATCCAACTACATGTCTTTTTTAATACATTTCTGACTAAAATCATAAACAGAACTCTTGAAGGATGTGTTCAAACTCTGCAAAGGAAAAATAAATGTGTGTTGTGTGTCTCACCGATCAAGAACTCGTCATCCAGAGCAAAAGTAGCAGGATCTTGAGGATACTCCACCCACAGTGGTCTGCAACAGAGATACACGTGTGAACTGAATAATATGATTCCAAAACCACAATGTATTACTTGTCCACTGGGATATTGTGATAAATTAAAATTCAGATTAGGGGACATTTTGTTTTGAATTTCCATTTTTCTATAGTAAAATAATGCACACCTCAGTCTTCAGTTGTACACTGCAGTCATACGTAACATTATGTGTAACATTATGTATTAGACTGCAGTAATATGTAACATTATGTGTTAGACTGCAGTAATATGTAACATTATGCGTTATACTGCAGTAATATGTAACATTATGCGTTATACTGCAGTAATATGTAACATTATGCGTTATACTGCAGTAATATGTAACATTATGTGTTAGACTGCAGTCATATGTAACATTATGTGTAACATTATGTGTTAGACTGCAGTAATATGTAACATTATGTGTTAGACTGCAGTCATATGTAACATTATGTGTTATACCACAGTCATATGTAACATTATTTATTATTAGACTGGTGTTCATGCTCTGTTGTGTCAGACTGACGACTTTAGTAATTAAGAAATTAAAAATTTATCCAGTTGCTGCATTACTGATTAGTGATGTTGTTGGTTTGAGTCATTACTTTTTTGTTATAAATAATAAATAGGAGCCAATATATGTGCCTGAATTAAGTCTTCAATTATTTTTAACAGGAAGTAGTTTGGTTGTGTCTACTTCAAAACGCCACAGTAACATGATCTCAAGAGAAGCAGGTACTGAGATCTGTATTTGATGGATTAAACAAAAATCATTTTGGTGATGATTTTGTAACTCACCACAACAGACAAGATAAAACACACTAATAGAAGCAGTGGTTCCCATCCGGTCCTCACCTCATGACGGGCTGTCCAGTCTGGTGTGCGTGGTAGAACTGCTGGTACCAGTAAGGCAGGAGGGTGTAACGCTGGCGGACCACTTCACGGATCAGCGCCGTGTTTTCTGGGCCGAACAGCCAGGGCTCGCGGCGGGGTGTGTCCAGGTGGGCGTGGGCCCTGAAGAACGGCTGGTACGCCCCCGTCTGGTACCAACGCACCAGCAGCTCAGTACTGGGAGACTTGAAGAAACCACCGACGTCAGCTATGAGACAGACGGGTTCAGTGTTAGAGAAGGATTCTTGGCTGTTTGGAGCCTGATATAAATAAAATATCTTGGGAAAGCAAAGCAGACAGACATAACAACCTCTTGAGACCTTCTATTTTTAGAGCTCATGGCAAGAAGTGGAGGAGAATTAAATGTGTGCTAAATCAGCTTTATTTAACGTAGGTGCACTGACATTAAACACTTGATCTGATCCTGAACACAAGCTTCATTCTTTTATCGCATAACTGTAATATACAACTGCAGTCAGAATTACCTGGGGAACTTGTGCTCTCACCATGGTAACGCCTCATGCAGTTTATTAGTGCACGTTTCCATGACAACATTAACAAACACTCTGGGGAGTCTGAATACTGACAGATCCATTTCCTTCCTTCAAAAAAAACCCCCACAGTCCTGCATTACTGTTAGTTATAGTTGAATCTGTGGCATTTACATGTTAATGAAGGTGATGATCCATATTATTACCCTTTAATTCTAGTTAAATGTAAGCTCAATGGCTTAAGAAAGACAAACCAGCCATAGATAAATGGACTGACGTGATCTATAATATACACACAATGGAGAGAATATAATTCAAATTAAGAACTCAAGTTGATCTCTTAAATGGTTTAAAATAAAATAGCTTACTGACACATTGGCCATTTTTACAAATTTTCATTAAAGAGATCAACTTGAGGCCTGATTTTGTATCGTGGAAACAGGGTGGTGATGAGAGAAAATCTTCCATCTTAAAATGGTTGTTTTCTCTTCCAGGCAGAACCATTGTGAGTTGATGTGAATATTTTATAAGTGGATAGGTTGGTGTGTACACGCACACACACGTGTATGTAAGAGAGTATGTATATATGTAGACTTTGTTGTTAAGTGAAAGATATACCCTCCCAATGTTGTTTATTTTTACTCTTGCTCATGTTCTTTTGCTTCAACGGGTGTGTGCTTCCTGTCAAACTGGCGTGTATGTATACATTTTGTTTATCTGTACTCTTTAAATAGGAAACCTAAAAAAAATTTAATAACAATTTAGAAAAAAGTCATCTGAAAAGGGGCAGAAAAAAGGATAAAATGAACCATAAAACTTTTCAGCAGTTTTCTGAATATTTTGTTCGTCACAAAAGTCACTTTACGCTGACCAAAGGGACAAACTAGCAGTGTAACAGCAGACTGTACACTTTGATAATACTCACCACCACAGAAAGAGATTCCAACCAGACCCAGACTCAGACACATGGGGATAGAGATCTTCAGATGGTCCCACTCAGCAGCATTATCTCCTGTCCACACAGCACCTACAGACACAAACACACAAACACTTGAACACTCTAGGTCCTGCGCTGACACAAAAGGTTTTTTTAAGCACACAGCCCAACAGTTGAGGGTTAAACAGTTTTTAATCAATACAATAGACAATGTTGGTTAGTGTAATTGCTTTTGTTTCAGGGGAAAATGCCTGAAAGAACTAAAGGGCTTACCGTAGCGCTGTGAGCCAGCAAAGAAGGCTCTGGTCAGGACAAATGGTCGCTCAACTCCTCCTGATCTCTGGATCAGACCCTCCGCCGTGGCCATTTGCTGCAGGTTAAACACAGAATAATCAGTGGAGTAGAAGGGGTATTTTTTAATCCTTATAGTATATTTTGGTTCTCTTTCAAAGCTATTTGTGAGCTTTGACAGTACAGTCATATCACAAAGATTATTTTATATCAGAATGTCTCAGATTTCATCTCCACTGGTGGAAAATGAAAATATATTTTCACCTGACATAAGCTGCCAAAGTTGAACGGCTACAGGCCATTTTATTTTTCGATTACATATATCTGTACTGAAGTTTGAAATTAGGTTCCACAGTGATTTTTCCTGTAAATCAACTACAGTAGTCCACATGTCTAAAGTCTGAATTATCCAGAGCTTGGGAAATATTTAACAGAAAGGTTCAGTTCTGTCACACAAAGACGAAAGACAAACTGTGTGCACTCACCACATAGAAGCCATACAGGTTGTGGACGTCACGGTGCTCCCACGCTCCGTGCATTGCATCCTTGTGCATGGTGACCTCTGGCCCGTTGAACACCGACGGCTCATTCATGTCGTTCCATGTATACAGGTTCTCCATGGAACCCTGCAGATTGGACAGAGATTGTGGGTTTGAGTCTGGACTCACCATATCATGGGAAATTTGCCATTTTAAATCCATGAACAGATGGGCACAGAAGTTACAAATGAAGAAAGGGCAACAGCAGAAACTTAGCTGCAGATGGCAGAGAGAGAGAGAAGTTTCCTTGGGACTCACCTCATACTGATCGTAGGCGAACATGCTGGCCCACCAGGCCCTCATGTCTGCACGGGTAAAGTCTGGATAGCCAGCACTACCTAAAAAGGACATCATCCATGCCAAGGAGAAAGACAGAGGATGGAAAGGAGCATGAGAGAAAGATTCCTTGTTAGATCTCTGCACACTCAGAAACATGTCGCTACACACTTTGTTTCTCAGTGAAGATCCAGTTCTCTACCTAAACATATTCACATTAACATATTTGCATTTCTATATATTTTCTGGGGATTGATGTTGTGTCTCTTACCAGGCCAGCACCAGCCCTCATAGTCTCCGCCATCTTTATTCTTGATATAGTATCCTCGAGAGCGGATTTCATTATGGATCTTGTAGTTGCTGTCTACTTTGATATGAGGGTCCACGATGGCCACCATCTGTTAAAAACAATGTAAAATGAGCAGTGCAAAAAAAAAAAAAAAAACCCAGGAGATTCTGGGTAAAGTGAGACAGAAAGCAGCAGAATAAACACTGGAGAACCTCTTAAAAGAAGACTCATGAAATTGTGGATCACAACATCGACTGCAGGCGTGCAGGAGTGCTGTTGGATTATCAGTACCTTGCGTTTCTTGTCCACAAGACCCTGCAGCATTTCCTTTGGTGTTGCAAACTTGTGTGGATCCCAGGTGAAGTAGCGTTTGCCATCAGTGTGCTCAATGTCAAGCCAGATAAAATCGTAGGGAATGTCATGCTCGTCGAAGCCCGCATCCACTGTCTGCACGTCTTCCTGGTCGTTGTAGTTCCAGCGGCACTGGTGGTAGGCCAGAGCAGACAGGGGAGGGAAGGACTGGGTGCCTGTGGGGCGACAAGAGGAGGGACGCTGAGAATGAGGAGACAAAAACTATATTGTGACTTTATTTTCTGTGTTTTTTTCTTGTTGGAGCCATGACTTGTTAAAAATTGAGCGAATGCCTTTGTGTTTAATGTCTAAACAACCGCAGCTCTCTAGTAAGTTCAATTCTGCGTGAAGGGAAATGTTTCAATGAATCAATTGTGTCTCTACGTAAAAAGTGTGAGTTCTTGAATTTGGGCATTAAACATAATTAATGTTGATCTAATCTAATTAAAAATGTGTCCAAATTGTTTAAGATATTATAGTTCCTCTGCAGATAAATGCAAAAAGTCATGAAGGATCTATTTAAGACAACATATTTGTTAATATTTTTGTGTTCATGCGAATGGTCAGTCATCCATCTTCCTACCTGTAAGAGAGGCATACTGAGAGAAAATGTCTTTGGGTGTTGGTCCAAGCATGATGAAGACATCGATGATGCCGCTTTCGGAGATCCAACGCACATCTGTCTGTGGTGTCTCACTGGAGCCCTGCACATAATCCAACATTTTCCCAAACACCGTCTGAGAGAGACAAGAGTGAGTGAGTCACTGGAAATTTGGGAAGCAGGAACTTACTACTGGCTATTGTTGACTAAGACAGTCCCAGAAACTAGGAGAAAGATTAAGGGATGTACCTTTCCAGCTGTGTTGGAACTGATATCCACCCAGGTCTCGGCGGCATTGAGCCAGAAGATGCCTGTGGTCCGGTGGGCGTTGTGGGCCAACATGACTGGGACAGCACCGTAAAGGGCCATCGGGTTATACAGCTCGTACTGGAACACATCCAGGTTGTAGAGCCGATATGGATCTCCACTACTGAAACAGAAAAACACTCAGGCTTGATCCAGTGCAGTGAGGACCACGCTGACAATACTGCCTTTTTGTTGAGACTCACTCTGTTGTTTTCAGCCTGAGAGTGTCTGCATGTTCTGGGATGCCGTAGACGTGCTCAACCCCCGGCAACGAAAAGTCTAAACTAATAGCAGATGGACCTGTAAGGAGAGAGAAACCAATTAATTAAGTCAATTATCCCCCCCAAAACATTATTAACACTTACACACAAGACTTATTTCAGATATAATACCACACACACACACACACACACACACACACACACACACACACACACACACACACACACACACACACACACACACACACACACACACACACACACACACACACACACACACCAGTGAAAATATAAATAGGACTTACCATTAGGTTTGCCGTCTGAGTGCGATTTAAATGTTTCCTCCCACATCCCGTCTTCTACTTTCTCTTCCTCTTCTTTTGCTGTCTGGCAGGAAAACGGGGAGAACAGAAACGTAATTTACGAGAGAAGATTTAGGCCGTGATACAGCGTAGAAATCTAAAACACAGAGAGGAAGAGGAAAAGAAAGTGTGTTTCAGTGTGTAGTACCTCGGCCTGGTTTGCCGGATCAGTGTCCTCTTTCTTCTCAGCCTCTGGGTCTGCCTGACTGCTCCATGGCACGATGAAAGGAGGGAGGGGGTGAGCATATATATATATATATATATATATATATATATATATATATATATATATATATATATATATATATATAGGAAAAAGAAAGATGTGTCACTTGGAAAGTCATGTTAGCTTGAGATGCGTAACAATATATGGGAGTATAATTAAACTATGACAAAAGAAAAAGGACATACAAACAGGGAGGTTGGTGTATGACCCCCCCCGACAATGATAAATACTCTACAAGGTCTTGAATAACTTTAATGACAAAGGGGACTGAGCAACTCCCTACCTTGTGGCTATTTCAAGCTTGGCATTATGGGACAGGACCTCTAGAGGCTGCAGCATGTAACACCCACAAGGCTCCTTACAGAACCAACTGGTACCCAGTGGATCCCCTGCATACCATGGTGTAATCAATGCCATGGCATTGCACCAAAGACCCTTTCAAACTAGAACTTGAACTCCTAAAAATTTGGTAGTTTACACACACAGCTGTGGAGGTGCATGACCTGCAGCAGTGCACATGCAAGAGGCAGTGGTGCCAAAATGAAAGCATGTTAAGCCATATTCACATTACAGCAGAAAAACAAGGCTCTTGCTTTGCACAGTCTGCATTGCTCCTCGCAGGATTTTAGGAAGTGTACTCCACTAATTTCGCATTGTACGACTATAACGTTGGCTGAGTCACGATAGAAAACCCAGAGTTATCGTCTTTTCTATTCCATTTACTCTTCTTCCTGGTCAAAACCTGGCGCCTACATTACGCACTCGACTGTCGACAGTTCAGCTGGAGCTCCTCCTTCTCGTTTACAAATGTGTGTGCACATTGTGGTAAATGAAAATAAAGCTGAATTGAATTGATTTGATATTTGGGAGTGTTACGCTAGTAGCTAAAAGCAGACTTGAGCCTCAGCAGAGAGGAGGCGCCGGCTACAGGTGGTCTGGTAACCTCATTACTTTCCAACTCAACGCCCCTGGACTTAATTTTCAAGCTTGTAGTCTTCGACCCCAACTGACACCGACTCAATCGTGATGCAGTTTTTAAGGTTTTGCACACCTCCCTCTAACAACAAGCTTTATACAACTTTTTTACACTCCCCAAGACCTGACTCAGCGTAGGCGATATATAGTTCATAATATGTCATTGTTGTTTGACGATGGCAAATTTCCATTATCGAGTATTTAAATTACTTACAAAAACAATGAACCCCGGAAACCCACATCATTAATCATCACAGCAACAGCAGGATTCAGTCACACAACAGGCCCGTGATCACAGAGTGATCACGGACCACATCCTCCGCAACAGTTTAGCAGCGTTGTAATGATAGAGAAATCAACACCCGGTCCCGAAGCCCCGGTACTTCAGATGATTTAGTGCCGAGCGTGGGTCCGGGCTAGCGTTCAGAGCTAGCCTTCACGGTAAAAATGACGGACGTTTATTTTAGCGCAGCGAGAGCACTCAATGAAATCGTTCAACCTTGACCCCGGGCCGAAAAGAGTTTATGAGCTTTCAGCGCTGTACGCGTTGGTGGACAAAGTGCAGCTGACAATTCAATCACATTTTAAAGGATATGCGATTATCGTACGCAAAATCCCAAAATATGAGTATTATTTTGCCCATAGCCCACCCCAACTCAGCGTTTTTGCAACAGACCTGGTCACAAAATCTGAAGGCTGATGTTTCACCCAGCAAACATTTTCAGTTTGTCTCAATAAAATGATGATTTGTTATTGTACAGTTTCACTCAGTAACACTGCTCTTTAATTTAGCCTCCATCTTAAATTGCAACCATGCTGAATACATCAATGCAGGACTGTCACAATAAAACTAATGAGGAAGGCTCCTATAAAAGCCGTTTTTCCACATTAATGAGAGTGCGGCTGTCACAGCAAAAACTGCAGAAACTGTCCCAATTTAGATAATTGTTAACCCTAATGCTGTTATCAAGCATAACCACAAAGAGAGATGTTGCTGTTGGGTTTGGGAAGCGGGCTGCATTATCTGAACTTAAGACACAAACTATGTGGTGGGACACAGACTACAGTGTGTGTAAAGGAAGAAAAGCTTTGCTTCTAAACTGGTCCACACCTGCTGCGACTAGTATTATTTTACATCTACAGCAGTTAGCTCTTATTCAGTGTGACTAATTACTTCAGTTAACATAACTGGCCAAGAAACATAGTCAGTCATGCAGCTGCAGTGTTAGATCTGCTGTAGTGACACCCTACATAGATGATTTAGTTAATCAGACGCTGATCTGACGAGACAGTGGTGCAATTAAACACCGGCAGGCACAGCAGACCCTACACATCATTTGAGGTGAATGTGTTCTTTCATGATCAGGATGATTTTTTCTTTGTTTCATGAAATAAGACAAATGAATCAACATCTTAAGTGGCAACTATTGTTTAAATTATCCTTTAAAAACATGAGGATGAAAAAAACAGGGGGTGGACCCCTTCAATCTGGATCGAATTAAAACACAGACATGCACTCACTCACTCACCTACACCCCTCTCTCTCTCACATTTATTTCAGGGTAAATACTGTACTTGGTGTGATGGGAGTCCCTACACTTTGTCACTATTGCAGCATTAGCACAAGGAACAGAATACACACTTACAAATCTTAAGGGTCTTTACCTAGAGAATACCCTCTTGATATTATCCCACACGCTAGCCACTGTGCTAGTTACTTTATAGGAGAAACTAGGATGATAGGGAGAAGAGGACAGAACAACGAGTCAGAGACAATACTCAAAAAACAAACCATTTCATGGGAACAAAAATAGAAATCATCCACTGACTGAGGGCGTGGATTAAAAGAGAGGGCTGGCATTTGTAAATGTGTGTGCATGCGCAGTTTCTCACGTGTCCTTGCGCATCCTCAGGTGCTCAAAGGCCAGCAGGCCACGCGAGTTCAGCGACATCAACACATCTCGCCCTTCCATAATGTCCAATCGGAAGGGCCGGGCGCTCACGATGACCCTCTGTGACTCCGCCCCCAGGGACAGCACCACCCCGTTCTCGTCCTGAGACAAGAGAGACAGGCTGAGGCAGAGAGAGGAAGGGGAGAGGAAGTTAAAGAGAGGGAATTAGTTTACAAAACGTAAAGTGATGGAACACAGAACTCTTTATCTACTCACTATCCATCTGCTCCAAAGTTATAAGTGCTGTATCATTTCCCTTGTTAAATCCCAGTAAAGCCAAACTAAATGTCAAGGTTGAACATTTGAAATGAGATCTGAAAAGGCTCTTTTGCCTCACTAGAAGATTTTTTGTTGCAGTTCTAACAATTTCAATTCCCCCACTGTTGCTCCATTTCAATCCAAATATAGCTTGTAGGACATATTTTTGTCCTATAAGCTATATTTTTTGGCAGAATTAAAAAAAAACGACAACAACTAGCAGGACTAAAAGTTTAATTTGTCTTTTTGGATTGCGATATCAAAACCACCCGCCCACGCCACACAGTCAGTAACACCCTTGGGAGACTTACGGCTCAGTAGGTGGCTCCCTGATGAGCACGTCGGGGACCTCATAGCGAGGCTTCAGAGGCTTCAGCTCGTTAATCTTCACCCTCGTTATGTTTCCCTGGAGACGGTAGAGCTCAAGCAGCAGATGCACCTGAGAGAGACACACAGAGAGAGAGAGAGAGAGGGGGTGAGAGGCAAGGGAGGGAGATACAGGAGAAGTAAAGGAGCGTACAGAGGAATTTCATTAATATCTCATAAACATGACAGCACAGGTCAGCAAATGGGTTCAGCCAAGGGCCATTTTTTTTCAGCATTACACTTCGTTTGCCATATCAGGCAAGGAAGGGGAACTAGTAAGTCGGGCTTTCATCAAAGTATGAATAAAGTTTGAAAATTTTCACTGAAATTTTCATTGAGCAGAGAAGCCGGTCTGGAAACAGGCTTAATAACAGATGTGCCATATCTATAAAGTCCTGATATCAAGACCATAATTGTGAACTGTGTGTGTTATTTACCTTATTGTTGTCATTGATGAGCTGCAGGGTGAGTCTGGTGTTGGTCAGCTCCATGGTCTCCAGCAGGGCTCGATAGGGAGACTCACCAGGCTTCAGTGCTCGCTGACGCCTGTTTAACATTTAATAACAAGATTCAGCACCAGTGATAAATCAGTTCTTATAGTGTAGTTTTCTTTGGAAGTAAGTAAATGTATTATTTCCTCTTCTATCTTGCACTCACTTGCAGAAGGCACTCTGGTCACAGGTCTTGAAGTTGCCCCTGTCCACAGCCAACGTCCCACTGAGGGACACAGCCAGCCAGAGCAGCAAGACAGGTGCCATCCTACAGAGAAAATCAGGGAGACAGCCAACACTTAAGATGGTAAAGGCTATTTACCAACTCCAGTTCATTCACCCACATGTGGTTGAGCAACGCCACAGTACTCAAGAGCACTCCAGCCAAACTACAGCACATGTACAGGAGTTAACTCTCTCTCTCTCTCTCTCACACACACACACACACACACACACACACACACACACACAGACTTTGATCTCTCTCTGGTGGTAAAATGTGTCCCCGAGTGAAAGGCAGCGCCAGAAAATGTCACACAAACCATTTCCCGTTTCCTCGCCCTGCTGCAGCTACAATGTCCATTTATCAACTACCTTGTTCACGTTAGACCCCGAGCCCTTGCACGTAAATCCTTTTTATTATGTACAGCCCTCATACTCTGTCTCTGTCTCTGTCTCACCAGACTGATGTGATGAGCTTTGGAGAGGATGCCAGGAGACAGCATTAGCTAACGTAACAGCTAGCTAATGCGGGCTAAAGTTCGCTGACGCTCAAACGCAAATCTGAGGAAATAAATCAGAAAAACGGCTCCAAATTATCAATCCTACAACAACAATGCACAGGTTTTATTACAGACGGATTACCGGCTGGTTGTGTGGCAGCAGTGCCGTCGTTAATTACCAGTGGGGATCAGGATATGGCGCTAACCTCGCTGACATCGCTGCAGGCTGCCTGTCAACTCGCTAATTCAATGAAGGAGAACATCTCGACTTTTTCCTCCCTGGCGGCCGATAAAAACCCGGAAACACCACGTTTACTCACACGCTCAGTAAGTGTGTACCCACCGCGATAATCCCTGGCCTCCAGCACGCAGATTAAACATCAAACAAACGATATATTCGCGATGAAACAGCGGACCCGCTTTGTCTTACCTTTCAGTGAAGGCGGCCATCTTCATTATGCCCCGGTTAGACTCCGCCTCTTTCAGTCCGCAACAAAGATCTTTAAAGAGTGAGATTCTCCACCGGCGCAAACATTCATCTTTATTTAGTAAAACTAACACATAATAACGCGAATTAAATTATCCTGATAACAACAGTTGTCTTAATGGAGCTCTCTCTGTATTTAATCTTGATGTTATCTGTGTTATCTGATAAAGGGAGGATGTGTGTGTGTGTGTGTGTGTGTGTGTGTGTGTGTGTGTGTGTGTGTGTGTGTGTGTGTGTGTGTGTGTGTATCCTCTCAGCCACCGACACGTCATCGCCAGGCAGCAGCCAGTGAAGTGCACACATATAGTCCAGGATTTGTTCCCCTGCTTGCACTGGACAGATTTACAAACCCATGCAACGTACGCGGTGGAAACACGTGTACAGTCTAATGCAATACAACACTACAGCCCAGCAAGACACCCTTTGTGATTATCAGAATCAGACATACTTTAATAATCCCAGGGGGAAATTATTTTTGTTACAAACTCCAGATATACAAACAACATATATTAAGAACATATATATATATATATATATATATATATATATATATACTGGTAGACAAGGAGCAGAAGAAAGCGGTGGTGATAGATGTGGCCATACCAGCAGACGCCAACATCAGAAAGAAGGAACATGAAAAGGTTGAAAAGTACCAAGGGTTGAAAGAACAGCTGGAGCAGATGTGGAAGGTCAAGGCCAGCGTGATCCCCGTGGTAGTAAGAGCACTGGGGGCAGTGACCCCCAAACTGAGGGAGTGGCTCCCACAGATCCCAGGAACAACATCAGAAGCCTCAGTCCAGAAGAGAGCAGTCCTAGGAACAGCTAAGAACCACCAAACTCCCAGGCCTCTGGTAGAGGATGACACAGATACCACCCCAAGAGGGTGAGAGGGAAGTTTTATATATATATAAAATGAAATGAAATGACAAAATGTAAAGTTTAATAATGTGCAAAAAGTGCAAAAAATGATTGTCCTTGTTTGAGGTCAGATTACAGAGAGTTTCATGAAATAAGACAAATGAATCAACATCTTAAGTGGCTACTGTTGTTTAAATGATTCTTTAAAAACATGAGGATGAAAAAAACAGGGGGTGGACCCCTTAAATCTGGATCGAATTAAAACACAGACATGCACTCACTCACTCACCTACACCCCTCTCTCTCTCTCTCTCTCACATTTATTTCAGGGTAAATACTGTACTTGGTGTGATGGGAGTCCCTACACTTTGGCCCTATTGCAGCATTAGCACAAGGAACAGAATACACACTTAGGTGAGGTGTCTGACTCTCCGAGGGAGGCGTTATAGAGTTTGATGACCACAGGCAGGAATGATTTCCTGTGGCGCTCTGTGGTGCATCTGGGTGAGAGGAGTCTGAAGGTGCTCCTCTGCTGTGCCAGTGTGTCGTAGAGAGGGTGTGAGACATTGTCCAAGATGGACTGAAGCCTGGACAGCATCCTCCTCTCCTCTCTGCTCTCTTATGTGTAGTGTTTAAGTTATAAAAACACATACTCTCCTTTGTCATCTTGTGAAATGCTGTCTCCTTAGGGCCTCTCATTCCTTCAATCTGAGAAGAAATAACAAAATCACTAAAAGGACGTAAGCTACGATATATGGGGCTCGACATCCATAATGTTATTTTAAGGAAGTCACAAGAAAAGAAAAGATTAAACTCTCTCAAACAAGGGCAGGAAACAGGTGTTTCCATTATTCTGTTCAGTAGAATACAATGTGGGGTTAGATGTGTCTTAAGGGGTCAAGATGATTGTGTAAGAAAAACAATATTATCCAAGATGTTATGTTTGATATTCAGAAAATTCTGTTATTTTGTTAGTATATTTTTACCTTGTGAGGCCTCTAAAGATCATCCACTTCCCTGTGACTTTGTATAAAGGGTTAACAAACAAGAGAGGTTAGAAACCACTGGCTTAGAGGATTTACCAAACGCAAAGAATGTGGTAAGAATAGTTTGAGCATTTTAATCCCCAAGAAAGTCCCGTGGGAATACATTTAAGCACAAATGTGGATCCTCAATTCAAGACACATTCTAGGACCAAATGAAGATTTATTTTGTGAAGTGGTTGAAAATAACAGTTTGCATGTGTAACTCGAGGTACAAGGTCTGTCTGTAGCCACAATTTCAGAACATGAACAAATTATACAAAAACAATCTATAAATGGTTTAGCAGAGTTAAGTTGTATTTTATAACCGAAATGACACATTAAGGCAGAATTTTGTGTGAAGCGAACTCTGTATTAACATAATATACATGTGTGCCATGTCTCTCCCCCTGTCTTTCTCACAGAAACAACTAGTTAGAAATGTATCAAGTCTAGAAATATGGTACAAAAGGTGTGCACACACACACACACACACACACACACACACACACACACACACACACACACACAGTTATACTTGTATGAAACTGAAGTACAGTGATAACAACTTTGCAGTCCTCTCTTGGAGCAATGTAACACAGTACTTATTACCGTCTACTTAATAGTCTCTATTTATTCCCTGTCACCTGCTCCTACGACCCTTTAGAGCTGGAACCGCCAGCACAGGTGTCCCAATCTATCGATGTTTTTATGCAGGACGCTGTGAATTGGTGCCACGTATCTTGCCACGTCACCGTCCCGTGAGAAATCCCTGCAGAACAAGCCCTTCTCTGAGCTGAAGACAAACTTCTGGGGCATGGGCCCATTGCCTCTCACGTACTCCCACACAGCCAGGAGCAGAAGCCTCACCTCAAAGGGAGTGAGGTGGGGGAAGGCTTCGTGGACGTTGGCCAGCACGGGAGGCAAGAGCTGGCCCTCTCCCATGCAGGACACCAGGAGGTAGGAGGCCTGGAGGTGCCACGGGGAGTCTGTGGACAACGCCTCGCGGGACGCCTCCCAGTGGGCCAGCAGTGTGGCCAGGAGGCCTCTGAGGACAGCTGAGCAGTAGCAGAGAGCCGGGCGTCCAGCTGCCACCACCTGAAGCAGAGCGAAGAGCACCGGGTGGGCCTCAAAGCAACGCCGAATGTGGATGTCTCGCTCCACCGTGGTGCGGGCGTGCTCTTCTGGGGGCCAGGACAGCTCACCGTTGGCCACATCCGGACAGACGTTCTCCACCAATGTGACTGCAACAACCTTGGCTGCCTCGGCGTTGATGGGCGCAGGCTCGTCAGGGTCCGATGGTGGTCGCGCGCCGTTAATAGAACCGTTGAGGCCAGAGGAGCTGCAACACTGCACTATGACAGCCAGCAGAGTCTGGACGTTCTATGGACAGAAGAAGAAGATGATGACACCAAACACAAAATACACCCACCCACAAAGATCCTACCTTCATAGATACGTCTAACAAATAAGATTTTTTTCCCCGTCAAATGAAAATGTAGTTTTAAGGTCAAACTGAAAAGCGGCTGAAATGTGCGTTCACCTACTTTATATAGAAAAAGCACACCCCTATTTTGTATCCATGTTTGATTGCACTGCTGTTATTGTACTCAAATACACTTTTCAAAAACTCACCTGGATCACCCCAGATGGGTCAGGCGGCTGGGTTGCAGTGCGGACCTTTAGCCCTTTGCCAATCACCCCGGCATGAAACACAGACCAGACGCTACCAGAAAAGTTGACGGTGGTACCGAACCGACAGTTGATATCCAGCAAGGAGGCTCCGAGGTCAGGGGACACAGATGGGTTGGTCACGGGGGCACCAGACATGTCTGCGATCTGCCCTCCAAACAGGTCAGCGTGGCCTTTATGTAGCGCTCCCTCAACCAGCTGCTGAAGTACCGCTTTGAGAGTGAGCGGAGAATACGCTGCGAAGCGGGACAGGAGCAGGACCGAACAGTTCACTGCCTCGTTTGCCTGTCCCCCATCTCTTCCAACCTTCCCAGCTTCTCCTCTTCTCCGCAGCGCCATGAAGAAGTGAGTGACGGCAGCACGGGAGAGAAGGAGCAGGTGTGCAGGGGAGGAGGCGCGAGGGAGTGGGCTACAGGACAGGAGGCGCACCGCAGCGTGAGATACAGCCGGGTCACCGTGGAGAAGGAGTGGACCAAAATCATGGAGGTGGCCTGAGACCGCTGAGCCGACCTGGATGGCCATGGAGGACTGAACACCCGCTGCTCCTCTTCTCTCCTCATCCTGGCTCTGGATGGCTGCAGCCAGGTTAAGCAGCAGCTGCCTCAGCTGCCGGGGCCCCAGAGTGTGTGTGTGAATCTGGGCCACACAGCGAGTCACAGCAGCAGGAATGAGTCCCGCCATGCAAGAGGACAGAGTGGTGTGGAGCTGCCAGGCCAGAGCCAGCTCCTCTGGGTTGCGGGCCTGGGTGAGTAGCTGGCAGAAGGCCTCCGTGGCCACACTGGGACCCCCATACACTGACAGCAGACACAGCAACTGGTGCAGCCAGAGGTGGCGCTTCCTCTCCAGTCGCAGTGTCTCGGCGCACAGCTCACCTATGTGAGACTGCAGCTCCTCCAAGAAGGGGATCACCCTCTGGGGCTGAGAGGACCCAGAGTGATGGGGGTTGACCTCAACTCCATCCGAGCGGTTGAAGACTAGTTTGTGGAGGTGCAGAAAAAGCATCTGGAGGAGGCGATCGCAACCTTCCCTGACTCCTTCATGAGGGGAGGGTGTAGGGCCGGAGATGATGACGGAGGCCGGGGTCGCTGTGTCTGCCAGAAAACGAAGGACCCGGGCGCCCCCTGATGGGCTCTGGCTAATAAGGTGGACAGCCAGCCCCAGCATGTTATCCAGTTCCTCCCTGGGGAGGCCCTGCAGCAAGGTCTGCAGCTGGAGCAGGACAGGGGGGCGTAGCAGCTCTACCAGCTCTGCAGACACTGCGCCAAAGAGATTGGGGGACATTGCGGCCAGCTGCAGCAGAAATGGTACTGCGGCACGACGGAGCTGAGGGGAACTCTCCCAAGAAGTTGAGGAGGTAGTGGGAGATAGAGGGCTCGACGGACTGAGGCTTTCCTGAAACATCCTGAGCAACTCCTTCCTGATGCTGTCTGAGTGGTGTGCTGCAAGGTGTCCAAGGATTCCCACCACTGAGCCAATCTTGGGCACTCTGCTTCCTTTATCCACTCCCATCACCATTAGCCCTTGGTCCTTAGCGCCATGTGAGCAGAAGTCCTTGAGTCCACATGCCAAGACTCGGCTGATGATAGTACCCGGGAAGGCGGAGCCGATGTGAGCTACTACCCAGTCAAAATGCGGGGAGTGTTGAACTGAGGTGTCCAAGAGCGCATCCACACAGGCGTCAGGGCACCAGGCCAGCATGGCGGCCAAACACTGGGAGTAGGCCTCCATGAGTGACCGGGTGGCAGCACAGGACATCCAGAGCTGCAGCAGCTCGTTGAGGCTGGAGGAGTGGGGGGCCACCCTGCGGCCAGCATGTTTGCTGCTCAGCTGGCCCAACAAGTCCACAGCCCAGGTGGAGACCAGGGGGGCCCAGGCCCGGGGGTTGAGCCGGATGAACTCTGACAGCACGCCATGAACCTCCTACAGACAAACAGGAATGATTAAAACCAATTACCAGGAAACTTCCTGTCATATTTTTATGAATTGAAGAAAACAGAGGTTTAGGTTAGTGAGATAGAGCAGGGTCTGGATCTGTTACTGTTTGGTCCTTTAAAACTGATTTATTTATTTACTTTATGCGATACAAACACACCTCAGTTGATCTGACAAGCAACCTCAATTATGTCTCTTTTTAATCTTCAGGGGTTTTTTAAGCTTTTAGTTTGAGGCACAAAATATTTGGGCTGTAACGAACAATAATTTTCATTATTGATTAATCTGCCTTTTACTTGCATTATTAATCGTTTGGTCTATAAAGATTTAGGGTCAGGTGATTCTTGTTTTGTCTAAAATCCAAAAATTCATCACAAAAGAAAAGCAGCAAGTTCTCACAACTGAAAAGCTGGAACTAGGTCATGTTTGGCATCTTTGCTTGAATGATGATTATAAAGCGTGATCATAGTCTTTAAAACTGCTGATATATTGTCTGCCGATCAACTAATTGATAAATTAACTCTCATGATTAACATGGTGACATTAAAGTCAGGCCCAGAATCACATGTAACGCTAAATATGCGGTTTATGTGTTAAAATGTGAAACTTATATTAACATAAGTATTCAATTTGTTATCATGATGTTAAATCATCCATGGACGCTTTAATAGTCATGACCACAGCTTGAGTGAATTACATAACATTAAATGGGCATTGGGACAGTGAAGCTCTCACAGAGAGGTGGCAGTAGGGACAGAAGTGCTTCTCCAAAGGGAGACGCATTGGAAATTAATTTATGCTTATTTTTTTATCAAGTAATTCAACGTCCAAGTGCCTGTGCTCCCCTGTTGGAATGTACTTGTTGTGCTGGCTGTGATAACCTATAATTAATTCCACCTCTGTATATTAATATCTGTGCCAGAATACATGCTGAAGAAGGACGTTTTGCCCAAAAGTTTGTGTGGCAATATTAAAAAGTTTAATGGGAGTGCTGCCCTAGTCTTTTCGTTTATGATTTAACACATTTAAGATCCAGCATCCTCTCTCTTTATAGTCTTAATGGGAGTTGAGTGTGTTGTGCATTATTTCATATTAATAATTCATTGACTCTACTATACTATCCATATAAGGACTAAATGAAAATGGCCTGTTATGTTCTAATCTTATTAACTTTTAATATTTGCATCACTTCATGATCCAATGTGTCTTTGTGTCATTGCACCTGTATGATGTCCTCCAGGTTGGAGCTGACCCCAGAGCCGCCATCACCCTCTGTCTCCAGGTTGTGCAGGAAGGCTGAGACGTGCTCATCGTAAACGCCTCTCAGATGCTCCAGCACCGCCCCTCGACAGGCAGGGACAGAGCGAAGCAGGCGCACAGCACAGCGGGCGTGTTCCCGAACACTGAGCTTCCGGCCCTGAACGGTGTCAACGCCACTGATGAAGGACTTGATCTCCTGGGACAGTTCCTGGGCGCTAGAGGACAAGGATGGACAGGATGAACGAGGTGGGAAGTTTAGCAGAAGCAGAAAAGGAAAAGGTGTGTGTCTATATTTGTGTGAGAAAGGAAGATTGTTTCAGATTACCCATAAAGATCTATTTACACTACTAACAGTGAAATCACATCACAGCTTCCCAAACAGACGTCCTTAAACTGCTTGGCTTACAATCCTAAACCAAAAAAATATATGTATTTACTATTAGCATAGTCGCCTATTAAATATCTAATATACGTAGAAAGAAAGAAGTCTGTGTTGAGTTTTAAGTCGGACAAAACAAACAATTTAAGGACGTCACTTTGGTTAGTTTTGGTTTAGTTTTCACTATTTTCCGATGTCTTACACACTAAATGAAAAAAAATGATCCTGATTAACTTTGTGTCATAAATTAATTGATTAATCGACTTCAGAAAATATTTATAAATAATTAAAATAAAACTTAGTTATTATGCAGCCCTAAAATATAATTCATTTAAATGTTTTATAAAATAAAAATACCAAACATTTGCTTTGGGCTCTGGGAAACATTTTTCACCATTTTCTGACAGTTGATGGATCAAACAACTAATCGATTAATGGCGAGAATGATCCATAGATTAATCGATAATAAATAATTATCTTGCAGCCCTAACCATCAGTTGTTTTAGAGGTGTTGACCAGGACAGATTCATGTTTAAAACAACATGTTGGACTCCAACAACCTGCCATGTGCACATTGTCTTTGTTTAACCTTTAATAAAGCACATGAATAATCGATTAACTGAACAGTACTCAGTGCAGCTATACAGACTATATTATTAATCCAGTAAACTTTAAAAGCGAGCTGCCTCTATACACCACGGTAGTAACACTGAGCCTTTAATATCACCACAGTTAACTTCAATACAAAATAAAAACCATGTGCTACAGTGAGTTGAGAGTCTGAGTGTAGTTGTTGAGAGAGTCCAGCCGCTTCCTCTCCACCGGGACTCACCTCAGGACAGTGTGCGGTGTGTGAGTGTGTGAGCTCTGCATCGCCTTCAGCGGACTCCCGTCAAACACCACAGACATCGCTCGACCGTGTAACATTAAAAAGAGCCTCGCATTAAAGCCTCCTCTCGGGCCGTGGGACTTCGACGTGCGCGACGTGGGACAGCTCTGGTTTTATTTTCTCTGAACACAAATACATCGACAGGGCGCTCCTGAAGCCGGAAGTCGGGATTTCTTCTTCGTTCCCCTAACAGGCAAACCATCACTGACAGATGACGTCACTGGCGACATCTAGTGGCTTTCTTCTTCGTCTGCTTCTTTTCCTGCTGCTGCTGCTCCTTGTTTTACCGCGGTTGGCGTCCAGTGTTTTATTTTGTTAATCCATTTTCTGCTTCTACAATTTAAATCCCTTTAAATAAAAATAAAACAACAATAATATAATAGAACCACACACAAACAAAACTAATGTCTTTATCTATCATATCCTATATAAAACTCATGTATCCCTTAAAACAACCTGTGCTCTCTCATTCATCCTCAGTAATTATTTTAATATGAATTCCTGTACATATAATTCTCTTAAGTTCTCCCTCATCACTTCTCTGTCTGTCACATACTTCCTACAACTCAGAACTACACCGACTCCTCTTCCTGACATCTCTCACACAGCCCTGTCTGATGTCTCTCTACTATTGCATACATACACTATATATATACTATCTCTGTTTTATTTAGTGCACTGTACTTCTTCCTCTCTCCTGTTCCCAATGCCTTCCCTAGTTCCTTTAACAATCTTTTGATTGTTATAAATATGCCTCCCTTTCTCCTCTCTGTCCCATCTTTTTTTCCCAGATTAGATGTTTAACTTTTACATCTGGTGGTGCTGACAGGAGTGGTGTGTGTATTTATTTATTCTAGTTGGTAAAGATGAGAGGAAACTTTACCGATCCCCAAACGTATAATGAAATTCAGGTTTTATATACAGTAAATTTGATAAATACGTCCTAAAAATAAAAACTTATGATCCAGTGTATAACCAGCCACCGATCATAGTAACCTTTTACATGTGGCTATTAAAAGGTTACCTAATTTTCAAATATATTTTAATATTACTATCTGTAATATATTTATAGGTAAAACTAATATTTTTGTTTAAACTGTTTTAGATATGTGTTGATTAAATGTTTTGATCATTTTGGAGGCTGCAGTTTATGGTAGTGTTTTACTGAGAGGTCTTTTAATTATGAAATTATTATTTCAATGATAGTAATGAAATGATCATACCGTTGAATCAACACACTATTATTATTATTAATGTTGTTGTTGTTGTTGTTGTTGTTGTTATCTATTTTTACATTCTGACGTCGGGATGATGCTTTTATTGTGAAGGCCTTGGCTCCAAGTAGCAACAATCAGCTGATCTCTCGCTGTGAAGCTTTTGGTGTTGAGCTCTTTGGCGCTGTCTCTGACATTAAAACGACCTGTGGGCATTATTGAACAGGTAAGAAAGACAGAAACTGAACATTAATGTGAGCTGAGGGTCTTTTTTCTCGACGCTACAGTGTTTTGATAGCAGTGGGGTATTGCACAAAAGTAGGATAAAGAAATCCAGGATAAGTGAGCAAGCGCGCTGACTTAGCCTGCTCGGCGCATCCTGGCTTAATCGGTTGCACGTTTGCCGAGCCAGGATGAAAAGGCGCGGCTATGTTAAGCCAGGTGTAGATAGTCGGGATAAGTGCGTGTTCACGGCATACTGAAATAGACCTCGCGATCGCTCACAGAATCACCGATGGGAACATGGATAAGAGTCACGCTTCGATTTCACGGCCGCTGAAAAACAGCTGCATGGAGTTCTAGAAGAGGTGGAAGATAGAAGAAAAAGGCAATACCAATGCCATAATTAAAGAAAGAGAGAAAGCCTGGCAGACAATAGCGGACCGGCTTAATGCTTAAGTAGTCCAAAACTGTACAATGAATAAACAGTGCTCCACTGGAACTGTCATCATTAGGCTACAATTAAAGGACTAAAGGAGTTACTTTAAGTCCACTAATCAACTGTTGTACACTTTGCTTTAAATGTGGCAAGTAGAGGTTCATGTTACTCAGAAAATGTAAAATATGATTAAGTGCAAACAATTATCCACAATGTGTGTCATTTAATCTATTTTTATCTATTTTATCTTTCTATCCTTCATAAAGAACCAACTTGTCTGGCCATAAAAGGACCTGGCAGCAAGTTAAAGTTAAATACAAGAACATTTTGCAGGCTGGAAAGTGACTTTAAAGTAGATAACAGTGAACAAATGAGGTGAATAGATTAGGTATCTGCTGACTTGTTGAATGTCTATATGATTGTAGCAGTTAAAAAAGCCCAAGAACTGGCACAGGGGGCCCACCAAGCCAGGATATGTGCCAAATGGTCCCTTTATTGAGGTTCTCGCATCCCCAACAGAATAAAGGAAGCTCCCACTTGCAAAACATCTCAATGTAACACAGACCATCTGTGATACAGTGAGAGCATGGCTTCCGCCGTCTGGTGCTGTATTTTTGGACCCAGCAGCCTACATAAATATCTTAGTCCATCACCTGAGAATCTGTATCTCTCAATGAGATAGTCATCTCCAACAGCCAATGGGTCTGACCTGTCCCAGAAGACTCTTTCATGACTAAATGCTCGCTGAGGATTAGGGCTTCCTCATCCAGTACATCCTCCAAGAAAGGGCAAGCCATTAGAAGAGGGAACGGTGTGAATAATATATATATATTATGGCATGCCGTTTAGGAAATGAAGCTTGAATATAGAAATGAATCTTGGATATACTGATAAAAATGTGAGAATACTGAATGAAATTGAAAACCTAGTTGTATCCTTTTCATCAAAGTGATAGCCTTCTGAATTAGCTGGTTTTACAAAATGGCATCAGTTGAAATATTACAATACTTTCTTAAACTGGAAAACTTTTTGCTTTTCTGTCAGGATTTAGCCTGAGGCCTGTTGTAGTCGGCCTGCCACCATTAAAAGGGAGGGAACTTCTTCGTCAGGAGAACGGTATTGGGCACGGGTACTATGGGAAGGATTTTGGCCCGTACAAGCACTTGCCAATGAGTTAATAATGTCCTCATTGCTCAGTATTGCTGCCACAAGGTTCCTGACTGACTCATTCTCACTTCTACAAGATGACAGCAGTGCCTTGATTGACCAGTCAAGTTTCATTGAATATATTAAAAGATTCATTCAATATATTAAAAGTTTCATTCCATATATTCAAAGATTCATTTTATATATTCAAAGATTAATCTCTTAAACGGTATGCCATAATATATATACTATATTGCCCTTGTCACAGATTTCATTGAAAACACCTTTGCAACTTCATCAGCTGTGTTTTGTAATCTCAATTACTGCAATAAACACATATTTATGCAATTTGGCAAGCAGTCTTCATTAGCATAGCAATATAACACTTGTCCTGAGTAATAATACTACCACTTGAATCAATATAAAAAGACTGTTGCAATTACAAACAGCCAACAGATTTAAATGAAATGAGAAATGACAATATATATGTAATATTTTAATGCAGAATAATTAAAATGATGCAACATACTTAGAAAGACCATGGACATGCTGTAAAACACATTAATTCCTCACAGGATTGACGGGGAAGTACAGGTGAATCACTAGGATTAATCTTAGCCTGGCTGTTAGCCTGGTCTGGAGCAGGCTAACTGCAGAGAATAAATCACCATAGTAACTTGGCCGGGATAAGTTTAACCTGCTTTCATGCAACCGACTTGAGGCTAAATTAAGCCAGGATAACCAACATATCCCGGCTTAATCCCTTATCCTGGTTTTGTGCAATACCCCTCTGGTGTCCGGTTAGATAGAAACCGTCGTCTGGATGATGTAAACAGTAAACACGGACCAGCTGAAGCTAATCACTATGCTAGTTTTCGGCTACTTTGATGCATCGTCTGCTTGTATTGTTTGCTGAACTTTAAAACAGTAGATTTATCTTCTACTGAGTCGGTTTTTTTGGCAGTAATTTGACCCATTTAGCAGGTTGACAGTGAACTTTAATTTTAGTAACATAATGTATGAACTTAAAGCTAGCTGGTAGTTCATTAGAAAGTTCGTATACGCTGTTTAAAACCCTGTACAATAATACCCAAACATGATGGTTATACATAGACTTTTAATTAAATACATTTAGTTCAAACTAATACAGTCTTATACAATAATCCTGCTATAAATCCAAGCTTCATGAAAGTGGTAATGTTCAGTTCATTCAAGGTTGTGGTATTTTTAGAGGTGCAGTCTGTGCTGCTCTACCTTCAGAAACTGAAAGAGAAACAATAAAATAAATAACATCAGGTCATGAAGGGAGAATTCACTGCAGCACTGTTGCATTAGACTACATTACTGTGTGTAGATGAGCTGTAATCACATGTCATATATCAGCTGGATTATCAACATGTGAGGACAATAAGCCTGATCATTGGTACAAGGAGTGATCACATCATGTGAATGGTGTCAATATTACACTGTTGTCTGTAATAGAGCTATGAAATGATTTGTTCCCACAGGTGCTGGAAGTGAAGGTTTACAGACGAACACGGACATGGCTCCCACACTGGTTAGGAAATTATCCTTTAATCAGAATATTAAATATTAGACCATTGTATATTTTTGGTTGTTTGCTGCTTTTGTGTTTTATCTTAGCAATTATGTTTCATTATGCAACTTTTATTGAAAATAATTACACAATTAAGGAGTGTCACAGCTGCTTTGTAGTCTAATTCAAAAGTCTTATCTTTGTTTAACCTAGATTGTGTCAGAGTCTGGTCAAATGTGTTGCTGCCAAACAAAGTCTGTTGCAAAGTCAAACATATTTTCCGTGTGTTGTAATCCAAGTATGATGAGAAACCGGAGCCTGGGGACTTGATAGAAATCTTCCGGGGCTCCTATCAGCACTGGGCTGTGTATGTTGGTGATGGCTTCGTCGTTCACCTGGCACCACCCTGTGAGTCCTTCCACACATCCGTCTGGACTGATATATACACAATAGAATAACAGCTTTATATGGCTGTTAATTATCTCAGAATATCAACTTAGATTGTTTGTTTGTTTGCAATATTTAATTCATAAACCTGTTTCTCTCTCTCTCTCTCTCTCTCATTGCTTTTTATTCCTAGCTGAGGTCCCGGGTGCAGGCTCCAGCAGCATGATGTCTGTCCTAGCTGAGAAAGCCATTGTGAAGAAAGAGGAGCTGTGGGACGTGGTCGGAATGAACCAGTGGAAAATAAACAATAGCCTGGACAGCGAGTACAAGCCTCGTCCTGTTCACATCATAGTGAGGGAGGCGAGCTTGCGTGTGGGCGAGGAGCTGCCGTACTGCGTCTTCAGGGGGAACTGTGAGCACTTCGCAAACGAGCTGCGATACGGAAAAGCCGAGTCCCGGCAGGTCAGTGGATCCATCATATATTTATATAAATGGACACTTTCACACACTCAAAGACTCTTTACATGAGTTAAAAAGGAAAAGAAAAGGAAAAATCTAAAAAAGACACTAAGAAATTATAGCTGTATCTACAACAGTCAACAATAATTAATAGTTAAAATCATTAAAAGCAGTTCTGAAAAGGTGGGTTTTGATCAGTGATTTGAAGTTGGATGGATCAGTACAGTCTTGGATTTGTTTGGGGAGAGAGTTCCAGAGGGAGGGGGCAGCAATGGAGAAGGCTCTGTCGCCCCAGGTACGATGCTTGGTCCTCAGTGGTGACAGGAGGTTGGCATCAGAAGAGCGGACATAAAAAAAATAAATGTTTTAATATATGAGTCATATAACTGTGGATAATTCTAATGCAGTGTTGAATCTCATAAAGACAAAGTTCTTCATTGTCTCTCTGCTCTCTAACTACAATGGATGGACTTTCCTCTGCAGGTGCGTAAGGCGGGAGAAACAGCGATGGTCATGGGTGTGGCTGCAGCGGTGGGTCTGGGTATCTTTGCTCTGGCAGGAGCTTTGTTTGGAGGCAGTAAAAAAGAAAAAGACAAGAACACGAAGTGATCAAAGTCCCTGGATGCGTTTATTAGGGTTTGATTAATAGATCACCACTAAAGCCTAACTGGTTGTTATCATGATCACTCACTGCAAATATCTGTGTGAACTTTCCTCCATCCGTCTCTCCGCTCTTCTGTTGTTAGAGTAACAGCCTGGTTGGTTTGGGATCAAGGCCCGATATTTTTCAGACTTTTTTAAATTTCTACAGATGGCAGATACAAGCACAATAAAACAGCATATTAAACAAATGAATTAAGGTGCCAAGATGAAATATATGTTTAGATGTTGTAATAAGAACTTTTTGAAGAGGACTGTAGATGTAGATATATAGACTATAAGGTATTTTCTATTTATAAAAATAAAAACAGCTTGCTTATGAATAAATAAGCTAGTTGAATCAGTTACCTCTGCTTAGTCCAACATGGATATTTTACATAATCAAAATAAGCTAATAGGATGATATTGTGGTCATATCTGACAGAAAAGCCATTTAATATCATATGCACTTTTTATTCTAATGATCTGTGGGCTGAAAGTAGACATGAACTAAACTTTTCTCATGACTTGTCACCTTTAGTTCACAATTGATCTGGTATTTACAAGGTTTTGTCTTCCTCTGACATTTAATTGTTTTGAATAAAGAATAATTTGTGTGATTCTGGATTTTAGTCTTTCTTTATCCAACATGGAGTTTCCTCACACGGGGTTGCACTTACTGAAACCATTAATTGATTTAATATTGGTTTTAACTTTTCACTTATATCCTAAGTTGCTGTGTTTGCTTTGTGCACAAACATATGTGGAATGTGGAACAAAGTGGAATGTGGTGGTTAATAGGGGTCGAGCTCATTCAGTAGTATCGGCCTCACTAGAAGGAAAGAGTCTCTGAAAACCTAAGTGGATGTGGTAAGTGGATAAGTTATTATATATAGATTAAGTTAAACTCTATATGTTCCCCTCCATGTGCCACTATGGTTGTTAAATCTATCCATATTCAGTGGAACAGTGATTTATGTATGCAAATTTAATCTTAACTGGAAGTGGATCAAAATACTTTGTTATCCTAAACAGCTTTTAATTTGTCACTTCTTTCTTGCTTCCTGTTATGGGATAAATTTCATGTCTCCGTTATTTAAGTTCCCAAGGCTGACCAGTGTTATCTCACTCCGACTCATAATTATTTCTGGATTCCTCACTACTGCTGTAGCTGGGTTAAACATCTCCTTATGACTGTGTGAATTCCACTGGAAATATATGGTTATACTCTTGCTGAGATACTTCTTGGGTCCTTCCAGACACAGATGCAAGGTAAGACCAGTATAATTTGGGGAAATTGTTTGTTCCACTTAAAACATCTAGAAACACCTTCCGTCCAGCTTCATGTCCTGTGTGTCTTTTCAGTCAGGGGATTTGCTTTCTCCCTTTCAAACCAGATTCCAAGCGTATGCATGAGAACAGTGGCTGGTGATTTATGGTGAAACAGAAGCCTATATGGTGCTGCATCCCATTTTCTCCACTGGAAGGGCCTCCTAGAGAGGACTTGAAATAAAAAGGTTTGAAAGCATTAAAAAAAGCTTAAAGTGATTTAAAAGATGTCACTGATTCTGTAGTCTCAGATCTTCAGTCAGGAAGTTCCAGAGCTGCAGGGCCCTGACTGCAAATGCATCATCACCTTAAGTCTTTAGCCAGGTCCAGCACTCAGGGACAGACCGGACTCCTCTGGCTCATAGGAGCAGCAATTCAGTAACACAGCTGGGAACTAAAGTAGTACTCAGCCTTAAAATCAATGATAAATCTTACTGGTAACCACTGAGTAGGTGCATTTTGTACCAGCTGATGGCAGTAGACTACAATAAATTACAATAATCTAACCAAGATTAAATAAAAGCATGTATGTTTTAGAGAGGTGTGTCTGAACCTTTAAAGTGAACCCTTTTGTAATTGGGAAAAATAGCCATAGACAATGTGTTAACTATGTATTTAATAACCAAAGCCAAAGCAAACAGCAAAGAAAGAATAAATAACAACAAACAACAGAATATAGCATCTTTAACTGAAAATGTTGTAAACAAAAACAATAAAATTGTAATGAAGCAATGATCATAAACATATATGTGTATGTGGATTCAATGTGAATATAAACATTCAAAAACAATGCTCAAAAATGATTAAAAGTAAAAACAAAATCTAAAAGATCATATAAATGTGGATAAAGTGTTCTACAACCACATTCAGATATTGATTAAATGCAATGTAAAAATACATAAAATCACTTGTTAATGCATGCTAGACAGATTTTTAACACATAACAATTCACTAAATAGGCTACTTCTAAAATTCAAAATCAATCACTGAATTTGTGAATGTAAAAACATTAAAGAAATTGATGCAGTTTCCAGGCAAGTCATAGAAAAGACCAGAAATGTTCCAAAAACGCATTAAATGGATGCATTTCAGGCAGTAAAAAAAAGTCCAAATGTGCCTCAATCTTTTGAAATTAAAACTGTGTAATATTTTGGTGTCTAAGAAAACCTTTGTGACCTTGTTGTCCTTTTTCAGACATGCCCAGAAAACTAATAAATTAACTGAATAATATTCCATTCTCATTTTTGTAAAACATAAATGTTAATCAGAGTACTGATTTTCATCCTACATACATACATGATACAGAGCGATTATTATTTGGTAATCGATCAATATTTGAATACAAAACGGCTCAATAGTCATTCAGTTATCAGATTATTAGCACCACGTCAAGTGCCATTTTTCTCTCTTTCTCTGCCCCTCTTCTTGACCCTGCCTCAGTCTAAACTTCATCTATCTCTAAAGTCTCTTAACATAATTTATGGGAAAGTTGGCGCGAATGGCTTAAAACTGGGATCCTGCTAGTAACTTTCTGTTCTGATGGAATTAGTTTTGTGGAAAAGTAAATTATCATAACTAATTGTAAAATGTACCATGTTGAGCCCTCCTTCATTATTTTTACCTGACCATTATTAGCTACCAGACGTTTGATTTGATTTGTTTGCCATTAGTTGAAAGCTGGCTTTTAAATGAAAATTTATTTCAGCTTTATTCTGACTTGTGTTGTTGTATCAAATTGGTCAGATTAGTCTGCTTAAATGTTTTTTTATTAAATTAAAATTAAAATTGCAGCACAGCTGGCAGCCAATGTCTTATATACAGCTGTTCTGATGTTGTCCACAGAGAAAGATGAACTGCCACTGGACTCAGCTGAAGCAGTCTTCACTACTGTGGTAGACACCTTCTGATGAGTTGCCTTCCCTGCACTGGGACTCTGAGATTCATTATCTGTTTGTGGAGACGGTCCAGAAAGGTTGATTCCAGTGTCACGCTTGAAAAAGAAAAGGATGAAAGAATAAGTCTTATTCTTGCAATTACACATTTTGTGAGAGCTTAGAAAGGATTGTAACCACTGTGACAACACATACAGTACAGCAGCAATTAGAAAAATGATTCAAATAAATAAAACACAAAGAAATAAAGAAAAAAGCTGTGAATATAGAAATCATTTGCAAAAAGATAAATGCTCTGCAGTGTTTCTCTATTTGGTTGTATGTTCTACATTTGAAAAATGATCTGACCACGCAGTCGTAAAAGAAAAGAACACATTATTCTGTAACAATCATTGTGTTGTAAAAACATACTGTTGAACGTAGTCTCCTCTGGCCATCAATAGGCTGACCCCAGGGTGGTAGGATAATGTCCCTGAGAAAGACCTTCAGGAAGAAGCACAAGATTAAACAGAGATGATGCTACACTGCATTGATGGTGTCATATTTAGATCTGCTGCAAACATCAAAAGTGAGTATGGCTTTTAGTCATAGATGTAGTTTACAAGTGTGTTACCAATATCAGACCTGATATTATAAGACAGGCAATCATTTCCTCTTCATGGTGAAAGGTAAACAGTCCAAATATGGTGTTGATAGTGCAAAGATATCTACCAGGAATCTGCACTAGTACATCTTTGATTGGCCAGTTCAGTGTCTTGTCAGATGATGCATTAGTATTATTTAATTGGAGCCAAAGTGGAGCCAGGTTAAGCTTTTTTGTGGGTGGACCCTGTGTTTCTTTGCCCCAGCCCTAATTTATTTATTTATTTATTTTATTTCACAACTAAACTAGAAAGCCAAAAGTGGGAGAAACTGAAGGAAAGGAGGGAAAGAGAAATGAAGACTAGCAACAAAGCAAATACTGTGAGCGTGAACTTAATATAGCCTAAAAGGGTGAGTTTAGATACAGTTGTCACGAATGGGGAATTTAACAAACGTTTTTTCCAGGCTGTAAAAATGTTTTTTTTTTTTTTTTTAATTTATTTTTTTTTTTTTTTTTTTGTTGGGGGTTTTTTTTTTTCCCTTCTGTTTTTTGAGGGGGTTTTTTTTTTTTTTTTTTTTTTTCCACAAAGGGGGGGGGGGGGGGGCCCCAGGGGGGGGAGGGAAACCCCTCCCCATTTTTCTCCAGTACGTACGTACAAACAGACAGGTTGTACACGTCTGCAGAGGACATGGAGCACGGGATAGCATGAGGACCACATTGAGCCCTGAAGTAAATGAGTTAGATAATTACACACAAGTACAAATGATCTGAAAGAAAAATAACACCATATATTGTAACAATCATAGTGTTGATATAACATACAGTTGAGTGTAGTCTCCTCTTGCCATCAATAGGCTGACCCCTGTGCAGTCGGGCAGTTTCCCTGAGGAAGACCTTCAGGAAGAAGCACAAGATTAAAAAGAGATGAGGCTACATTGCATTGATGGTGTTAAATTTAGATCTGTTGCAAACATCAGAAGTTAGTGTGGCTTTTAGTCATCGATGTAGTTTACAACTTAAAAGTGCAAGTGTTACCAACATGTATATTTGAACAACAGTAGTTGTTACAGGCTACTGGAAACAAAAGGAAAACCTGTTCCAACGTTCAATCTGACCTTTGATTTAAGAGAGATTTGAAAAACTGTGAACCCGTCCTCTTAGAAATCCTACCTGTGATGTTGAATGGTCTGGATAGAGGTCGTCGTCGCTGCCTTCTTCTGCTTCTACCCAGGGGCGGAGCTAGAGGGGTGGCCGGGGTAGCGCTGCTCAACTCTGGAACCTGATTGGATGCCTCGGGTGACTGTGGTCAAGCCAGCCTTGACTCCACCCCAGTTGATTGACGGGTCACTGCACGTCACGTCGAAAAAAGCACATTTTTAATTGCAAACAGAAAAGGCAAATAAACGTCTTTCTGAGTCTTGCTTCTAGTGTCTGTGTCTATTTGTTTTGCCAAGACACAGACTTTTCCCACAGGAGTTTTTAATTTTCTGAATGAATGAGGGTGCGCCCGTTTAATTGCTGCGCCAGAAACTGAAAGTGAAACTTAGGTCCATGTCCTCCAGCCACTTTCAAAGCTCTTTTTACTGAGTTTAACTCAACAGTCAAGAAGGCATGTTAGGTACCAGGTTAAAGTATCCCAGGATTTTCCTTTATTAGGCCTAGTATATGGCCCCCCTGATAAAGCCTTGACCACCCTCTGGCCACCCCTTGTATAAAAGTCTGGTTCCGCCACTGCTTCTGCTGAAACATTCACTTGGATTGGCCTTTTTATCTTCACTATTCTGTACAAACAGTGATTGGTTAAGGGTTACATAAACAAAGAGAATTCACATAATGCACAAAAAACTACAACTAAACCATTTCTATTGAAACATTAATGGAGCAGCTATTTTCTTACAATAAAACAAACAGTTAACATGTCAATGGGAATTCCTTTTTTGTGGTTTGAACATTCATGAAAATATAACTTTTACTGATATAACACACTACATGTGAGTCGCGATTCTGGTTGACACACGTGGAAAGTTAGAAATTACCCAAATACAGGTGCCAATATGAACACAGAAACAGTGTTCCTCTTCCTGAAGTGCTTTCAATATAATTGATGGACGACAAAATTCACAGTTCTCATTTTGTTCAGAAATGTATTCAAAAGTTTATATGAAGCTAATATGAAGCTGAATCAGCCTGAGGAGACCATCCCTGGAGGTTTTCTTCTTTGTGGTTCTGGACAGTGCAGATAGTAACAAAAAGAGAACATTTTGTTCAGGAAAGGCTGTAACCTTGAAAGATATCCATTTTATTTGTTTAATCTGGGTGGCTGAAGCCTCATATTAACTTTGTATAGGCTATATTTCTGTTTCTGTTTCTGTTTTTGTCCATCACTTAAAGGAGGAATGCAGAATGAATACAGAAAGCAAAACCTGTTTCAATGTTCACTTGAGCATTTGACTATTGTTTTGAAACACTGTGAACCTGTCCTTTAATGAATTCCAACCTCTGATGTTGAACGGACTGGAAGGAGGTCGTCACCCTCTGCTTCCTCTAGTTCTTCTAGTTCTTCTACTTCTGAAACATTCACTTGGATTGGCCTTTTTATCTTCAGTGTTCTGTGCAAACAGTGATTGGTTAAGGGTTACACATAATACACAAAATTACTACTAACTAAACCATTTCTATTGAAACATTAATGGAGCAGCTATTTTGAACAACAGTAGTTGTTATAGATTACTGGAAACAAAAGGAAAACCTGTTCCAACGTTCACATGGGACTCCGACCTTTGATTTAAGAGAGATTTGAAAAACTGTAAACCTGACCTCTTAGACAAACAGAGAAGGCAGAATAAACGTCTTTCTGAGTCTTGCGTCTTGTGTCCGTGATGTGCAGCCTTCTCTTTGTTTTGCCAAGACACCGACTTTTCCCACGGGAGTTTTTAATTTTCTGAATGAATGAGGGTGCGCCCGTTTAATTGCTGCGCCAGAAACTCAAAGTGAAACTTAGGTCCATGTCCTCCAGCCACTTTCCGTCCGTCATAAAGCTCTTTTTACTGAGTTTAACTCAACTGTCAAGAAGGCATGTTAGGTACCAGGTTAAAGTATCCCAGGATTTTCCTTTATTAGGCCTAGTATATGGCCCCCCTGATAAAGCCTTGACCACCCTCTGGCCACCCCTTGTATGAAAGTCTAGTTCCGCCACTGCTTCTGCTGAAACATTCACTTGGATTGGCCTTTTTATCTTCAGTATTCTGTACAAACAGTGATTGGTTAAGGGTTACACCTAATACACAAAATTACTACTAAACCATTTCTATTGAAACATTAATGGAGCAGCTATTATCTTACAATACAACAACCCAAGGATCCGTTGGTGATCTGCAATATGGGGACATACAACCAAGATAACAATCACTTCTGTGATTATTATAGATGATAATAATAATTTTTTACAAATTCACTTGTAGAGGGCTTAGTGTACCTGCTGAGGTCGGTGCAAAAGACTGGTCAAGTTGACCAGGGCAGAGGTCACATCCAGTTTGTTAATTATGTTTTTGTGGACCTTGTCACAAAATGTAAGACAGCTGTCCAAAGTTTTGAGTTTGTCTTCAAAAGGGTCCTTCTTGAATTCTAGGGTTCTACTCAAACTCTTCTACTTATTTGAAAAATCTAAGTCAAAGTCTTCAAGTTCAAAAGGGATGTAAGGACAAGACGTGGAATGCAAACCTTCTTCTAGCTGTATCAGGAAGCAGAAAATAAGCAATGTCATGAATAAAAGGATAAGAAATGACATTGCTTCTCTTTTTGTTTTAATATGACAGATATAATCTGGCTACAATCCAGCAAAAACCTACATAATTCAATTTATATGAACATTGTTCCTCACAACTTCTCTCTCGCTTTCTCTGTCTCCCTCTGGAACTAACGCAATGACAAAAATAACAGTAAAGAAATAATAAAAGAAATAGAGATGATGACGGTAAACTTTTATTATCATTTAATTTCATGAGAATAATTTCAAATTATTTACTTTGACAAGGGCCAAATTGTGATAGTTAGAAAACAGCTCTTGTGGGGTGTTCCCGGTCTTTCAGAGGTCAGTACCTATCAAAAGTGGTCCAAGGAAAGAAAAGTGGTCTACCAGGGTGCCCAGGTAGTCATAATGTTATGGCTGATCGGTGTAATGCCTGTTCAGGAAGGCTTTAAGCTTAAAGTAGCCCACAGTTGAGACTGAGATGCTAATGCTAATTTAGCATTCTAACGTTTGAAATTTTGAATGCTCAATGTAGCACTTCTGAAATATCCTGACAATTCAGTTTCTCTTTCCCTATATGCTCTCTCTTATGAATAATTAATAAGCAAGTTTAGATGGTCTATCAATATACATATTGATATTTCTTTAAATTATGCTCGACAAAATGGATAAACATACAAATTGTATTTAAAATTAAATATAAAAATAAAAATTCTATTATCAAAAATGGTCGTGTTAACATGTATAACATTGATATCAAGTATACATTTTTTAAAAAAGGCTAGAAAAATGATCAGAAAACAGTGTTTACCTCGTCCAGCATGGACTTTCTCCTGAATGGGTATCTCACCGTCAGATCGATGGCAGATCTCAATTCTGCTTACAGTTTATCTGTAGTTTCCTAACCTGGCTCAACCATGGTGACTTGGGGATGTTAAAATCTCTATCTGTTCCTCAATTTCTGTCAACTGACATTTAAATTGCTTTTTAAAGTTTTTAAACAGAAAGTACATTCCAATAAAGTTTATCATTTGTATGGAGGACTGTCAATTGATTGTTAATCATTAGATATTTATATTGATTATTTGATAGTTTTATGAATATTCATTATAATGGTTGCTCTCACAATATTTATACAATAAAATCATTCAAGTTTTTATAACTAATTGCTCATTAAATGGCAAAGTGTGTTCTATAAAACCAGCTACATACTGTAGGCGACAGGTCTAAAAGGAAACTCACACTTTTCAATCCTGAAACTGGATAAACGAGAAAAAAGGTTTGGTCCTTTGTTCTCTGGTACTTACTAAATGAAAGATAGCAGCAATTAAAACTAATCTAAGGTGTGACAGAAACCATGTGAAACATATCTGCATTTTTTAAATACCATATTGTTTTGTTGTTGTTAAAACTATAGGGCACAGATCTCAGGAACAGCAGCCATCTGTCTTGCAGCAGGGTTTAAGTTAATAGTTAATTTCCATAAATAATAAATAAATGATACAATAAAATCAGTCCAAATCTCCCACGAGTACAGTGGTGATCATCCTTAACCAGATTACATTGAAAGTTTAAGCTAACCTACGAAAGAAAAGGAAATGTGAAGAAAGTTTGATTAGAATAATGAAAATTGAGCAGACTTTCTCTTTAATTATATATAAAACAGTACAGTAAAATCTGTATAAATCTTACATAGTCTGGGTCATTATTATTATTATTATTAGTAGTAGTAGTAGTGGTAGTAATGCTCTAGTGTTTATTTTCATAAAAAAACAGAAAGTGAATGTTGCACATTTATATTTATTTTGCTGTTATTGTATTTATTATTGTTATTAGTATTTCAGTGTGTAGTCATTTTCAGGGTCTGGACTCCTCCCTGTGCAGGTGGATCTACAGCTTCCTGACTGGCAGACCACAGGTGGTTCGAGTGGGTCACTACACTTCAGCCCCCCTGACTCTCAACACTGGATCCCCCGAGGGTTGTGTGCTCAGCCCTCTGCTGCATGGCTATCTTAACAAAACATACTGTTACACACAAATACTACATCATACATTTTCTATGTTGATTTTATGTATCACTCAACTCATAAAGAAGTCAGCCGAGGCAGAATCTTGCTCTTTGAAAAAACTTTAATTGATAAATCCTTTACATCTTTGGGGGGTTGAATATATATATATATATATATATATATATATATATATATATATATATATATAGGAGTTTTGAATGTAATAGGGAATTGGGTATTTTCTATTTTTAAAAAATAGTTTGCTGGTAATTGCTTATGAATAAATAAGTTGAATCAGTTACTCTGCTTAATCCAATCCCTAATTTTAACTTAAAGCTAGTTCATCAAAAAGTTTGTGTATGCTGGTTGAAGAATATTTTGACAAAAATACCCAAACATGATGATTATACATGGACATTTTATTAAATACATTTAGTTAAAACTAATGTAGTCTTATATAATAATCCGAGATTCATGAAGGTTATAATGTTCAGTTCATTCAAGGTTGTGGTCATTTTAGAGGTGGAGGTGCAGTCTGTGCTGCTGTACCTTCAGAAACTGAAAGAGAAACAGCTCTCTGTACGAAGCAAAAAAATTAAAATAAAATAAATAACTGAAGGTCATGAAGAGAGGATTCATTGCAGCACTGTTGCATTAGACTATATTACTGTGTGTAGATGAGCACACACAGATGAGGCACAGATCATCTTATTCAACTCAGGTTTCTTTCTGTACAATGTTCTTGTTATAGTCAGTAGTAGTTTTCTCCTCCTTGGTTTCCCTTTGTCTCTCTGTTTGTGTGTTTGGACTCCTCCCAATCTCCATGATTACCTGCTCACCTGTCTGACTGCTCAAACCTGCCAGCCAGCCATCAACTCATCAGTCCTGCAGTATATAAACCCCGGTTCTCCATCCACTCTGCCAGATCGTTGTCTCTCCAAGCCTTGTAATGACTTTCTTGGCCAAGTTTGAGAACTTTAGAGAACTTTTTTCCGTACCTCAGGATCATTGCCTTCACTAGAGCTCCTTCAATCAGCCACGCTGCCCTCCATCTTCAAGTTCCACTCTGCCTGGGTCTCAGCCATATCCTCTCACCACTGCCAGCAGGAGCTACACATCACCATTTCATACCCTGGTTCTCAATAAAGCCTGTCTTTGGAAATCGTACCAACTGAGTTTGTGGTCAGCTTGTGGGTTCCTCTGTTTAACATAACAGATCTGCATTTTAAGTTGTAAGTTATGTGTTATATTTTAGTTATATTAAAAAAATTTAGATTTTAAATTTTTATATTCTTACTCTTCTACTTGTGTGTTGCCTCAGGGAGTCGGGCAAAGTAAGATTTTCATTGTACGTACAAACCACTGTGTTTCTTACTGTACATGTGATAATTAACCTCTTGAATCTTGAATATGCCTGATCATTGGTACAAGGAGTGGTCACAGCATGTAACACTGTCTGTAATAGAGCCATGAAATGATTTGTGCCCACAGGTGCTATAAGTAAGAGCATTACAGAAGAAGACGAACATGGCTGCCACACCTGTAAGTAAATTATCCTTTAATCCAAATATTAAATATTAGATCATTGTATTTTTTGTGTTTTATCTATCTATCTTATTATGTTTCATTATGCAACTTTTATTGAAAATATTTACAAGCTAGGCTACAATGTTGATTCATTTATCATTCTACAACACAGGTTTGTATAACAGGATGCTAGTTGTAGTCACTTTTATACTACTCACAAAACAGAAATGATATAAATGTGACTAAATAATGAGTTATAAATAGAATTAAAGCTGCAAGCAGCGTTGGATGGGATCTCGCACCGGGCGCGCGTCGGGGTGTGCTGCGACCGCGTCACGTGCCGTCGTAACAAGCGCGTACCACAACATGAAAATGTCACGTAAATCAGCTCGAAATCGCCACGCAGCACTTACTTCCTGTTGCCACTAGGTGGCGCTATCACTATGTGTTCAGGGCGGGACTCTTATCAAACATGTGAAGTTTCGTTGCAGTCGGATCATGTACGCAGAAGTTATTACGAATCCCTCTTTTTATGGCGAAGGTTTGAAATTGCACGACACGGGACGCCACGCCACATCCACAATGTTTAACGGAATAACGTGAATAGCACAACTTTTAATACTGAATGTGTTTAGATGGCTGTGTCCAAATCTGAAGTCGGTCCGATAAATTCCCTAGGAGGAGTTCGTTCAAATACAACGTGTGCAAATCGCCAAAAATGTCCACAAAATCCAAAATGGCGGACTTCCTGTTGGGTTTGAGGTATGGGTCCAAGAGACTTTTCTGCTTCTTTTATCATCATACACATGCGTACCAATTTTCGTACATTTGGGTCTTACGGGTCTTGGGGGCTGATTCTGGGGGGCGTGGCTTAGACGTTTGGCGGCGCCCGTGCACGAGGACAATGTCATATCGGTATTTTTGCTACGTTTGAATTTTGTGCACATTTTCATGACTTTTTGAGCATGGTGCGGGGGTCAAATATGCGGTCGAAGTCCCAGAGGTATAATAATAATAATTCCTGGAAGAACAAAAGGGTCTTTGCACTTTTTAGTGCTCGGTCCCTAAATATTATTTATTGTGGAGTGTAGATTAATTAAGGAGTGTCACAGCTGCTTTGTAGTCTTATTCAAACGTTTTATCTTTGTTTAACCTAGATTGTGTCAGAGTCTGGTCCAAAATGTTGCTGCCAAACAAAGTCTGTTGCAAAGTCAAACATATTTTCCGTGTGTTGTAATCCAAGTATGATGAGAAACCGGAGCCTGGGGACTTGATAGAAATCTTCCGGGGCTCCTATCAGCACTGGGCTGTGTATGTTGGTGATGGCTTTGTTGTTCACCTGGCACCACCCTGTGAGTCCTTCCACACATCCGTCTGGACTGATATATACACAATACAATAACAGCTTTATATGGCTGTTAATTATCTCAGAATATCAACTTAGATTGTTTGTTTGTTTGCAATATTTAATTCATAAACCTGTTTCTCTCTCTCTCTCTCTCTCTCTCTCTCTCTCTCTCTCTCTCTCTCTCTCTCATTGCTATTCCTAGCTGAGGTCCCGGGTGCAGGCTCCAGCAGCATGATGTCTGTCCTAGTTGAGAAAGCCATTGTGAAGAAAGAGGAGCTGTGGGACGTGGTGGGAAAGGATCGGTGGAAAATAAACAACAGCCTGGACAGCGAGTACAAGCCTCGTCCTGTTCACATCATAGTGAGGGAGGCGAGCTTGCGTGTGGGCGAGGAGCTGCCGTACTGCGTCTTCAGGGGGAACTGTGAGCACTTCGTAACCGAACTGCGATACGGAAAAGCCGAGTCCCGGCAGGTCAGTGGACCCATCATTCTGTGTTTAACTTTTGAGAATTACTAGAAAATAAGAACAAAAAAAATCACAACATGCCAACAATCAATCTATATTTTTTCTATAAAAATGAAAGGTAAAAGTTATTATTTGACTTACAATGGATTACATTACTGACATTTTTTAATGGTGAAAAAAGTGGAAAAGGGTGGCACAAAAATAATTAGCTAAAAATGTTTTAATATAGGAGTCATATAGTTGTGGATAACTCTAATGCAGTGTTGAATGTCATAAAGACAAAGTTCTTCATTGTCTCTCTGCTCTCTAACTACAATGGATGGACTTTCCTCTGCAGGTGCGTAAGGCGGGAGAAACAGCGATGGTCATGGGTGTGGCTGCAGCGGTGGGTCTGGGTATCTTTGCTCTGGCAGGAGCTTTGTTTGGAGGCAGTAAAAAAGAAAAAGACAAGAACACGCAGTGATTGAAGTCTTAGGGTTTGATTAATAGATCACCACTAAAGCCTAACTGGTTGTTATCATGATCACTCACTGCAAATATCTGTGAACTTTCCTCCATCCGTCTCTCCGCTCTTCTGTTGTTAGAGTAACAGCTGGGTTGGTTTGGGATCAAGGCCCGATATTTTTCAGACTTTTTAAAATTTCTAGCACAATAAAACAGCATATTAAACAAATTAATTAAGGTGCCAGGATGAAATATATGTTTAGATGTTGTAATAAGAACTTTTTGAAGAGGACTGTAGATGTAGATATATAGACTATAAGGTATTTTCTATTTATAAAAATAAAAACAGCTTGCTTATGAATAAATAAGCTAGTTGAATCAGTTACCTCTGCTTAGTCCAACATGGATATTTTACATAATCAAAATAAGCTAATAGGATGATATTGTGGTCATATCTGACAGAAATGCCATTTAATATCATATGCACTTTTTATTTTAATGATCTGTGGGCTGAAAGTAGACATGAACTAAACTTTTCTCATGACTTGTCACCTTTAGTTCACAATTGATCTGGTATTTACAAGGTTTTGTCTTCCTCTGACATTTAATTGTTTTGATTAAAGAATAATTTGTGTGATTCTGGATTTTAGTCTTTCTTTATCCAACATGGAGTTTCCTCACACGGGGTTGCACTTACTGAAACCATTAATTGATTTAATATTGGTTTTAACTTTTCACTTATACACCTTGGTCACTTTGACCTGGAAGCACATTGCCCAGGATGAGATGTAGTTGTATTGACTGTTCAACGTCCGACGTTGCCACCACAATAATAATTAAGATATGTGACAGGATGGATTAATAATTAATCAGTGGGTGACAGTGGGCGGGATTGCACCAGAACATCACGGCACAGTTAACCTCCTGGGGCCCTAATATCCTAAGTTGCTGTGTTTTGCTTTGTACACAAACATAGAAAGGAATGTGGTGGTTAATAGGGGTCCAGCTCATTTAGTTGTATCGGCCTCACGAGAAGGAGAAGAGTCTCTGAAAACCTTAAATGGATGTGCTAAGTGGATAAGTTATTATATATAGATTAAGTTAAACTCTATATGTTCCCCTCCATGTGCCACTGTGGTTGTTAAATCCATCCTGCTTCCTGTTAAGGGAAAACTTTTAAGTTTCCAGTTTCATGTCTCTGTTATTTAAGTTTCCAAGGCTGACCAGTGTTATCTCACTCTGACTCATTCTTATTTCTGGATTCCTCACTACTGCTGTAGCTGGGTTAAACATCACCTTATGACTGTGTGAATTCCACTGGAAATATATGGTTATATTCCTGCTGAGATATTTGATCACTTCTTGGGTACTTCCAGACATAGATGCAAGGTAAGACCAGTATAATTTGGGGAAATTGTTTGTTCCACTTAAAACATCTAGAAACACTTTCCGTCCAGCTTCATGTCCTTTTCAGTCAGGGGATTTGCTTTCTCCCTTTCAAACCATAGGCTTATTCCAAGCGTATGCATGAGAACAGTGGCCGGTGATTTATGATGAAACAGAAGCCTATATTGCTATATATATATGCTAATTTAGCATTCTGACGTTTGAAATTTTGAATACTCAATGTAGCACTTCTGAAATATCCTGACAATTCCTTTCTTGAACAGTTTCTCTTTCCCTACATGCTCTCTCTTATGAATAATTAATAAGCCAGTTTAGATGGTCTATCAATATACATATTGATATTCCTTTAAATTCTGCTCAACAAAATTGATAAACATACAAATTGTATTTAAAATTAAATATAAAAATAAAAATTCTATGATCATAAATGGTCGTGTTGACATGTATAACGTTGATATCAAGTAAAAAAAAAAAAACAAAAAAGGCTAGAAAAATGATCAGAAAACAGTGTATACCTCGTCCAGCATGGACTTTCTCCTGAATGGGTATCTCACCGTCAGATCGATGGCAGATCTCAATTCTACTTGCAGTTTTTCTGTAGTTTCCTAACCTGGCTCGACCATGGTGACTTGGGGATGTTAAAATCTCTATCATTGTTCTCCGAAGGTCTTTTTCTAGCACAACAGACTGTTCTCCCATTTCTGTCAACTGACATTAAAGATAAATCATTTTAGAGATGATATAAAACATTAATTTATTTTAACTTCCAATCATTGCTTGTTCAACGTTTTTAAGCAGAAAGTACATTCTAATAAAGTTTATCATTTGTAAGGAGGACTGTCAATTAATTGTTAATCATTAGATTAACAATTAGAAGGTTTTATGAATATTCATTATAATGGTTGCTCTCACTGTTATACAATATTTATATAATAGAATTGTTCAAGTTTTTATCATTAATTGCTCATTAATTGGCAAAGTTTGTTCCATAAAACCAGCTGCATACTGTAGGCGACAGGTCTAAAAAGAAACTTCTCCTTTTCAAGCATATACATTCCTGAAATGTTAACTGGGTAAACGAGAAAAAAGGTTAGGTCCTTTTTTTTTTTTTGGTCCACTATCAAATAATCCACATAATGTAGAATTGTCCTATGGTGGTTTAAATCTGAAACTGTTCTTCTTATTCTACTCAAAATAGATTTTCTTGCTGTCCCTGAGGGTTAATATCATATAATATATTTTATATTTATTTAAATGTATGTTTATACACAGACGTACACAGTATATATGAAATCAACTTTTATTTTGAAATAACTGAATGTGCCTTAGACCAACTTTCTTCTACACATGAAAATAAATATGGACTATTGTTCCACCTTATGTGGAATATGTTTGTATTTTTATCATCACAACATCAGCAGATCGGATTGGCTCCATTAAAAGACATCCTGACGCAATGTGGAAGTCCAAACTGTTGATAACCAAGTGCCTAAATAGATTGAAAATCCAACAATCCAATAACATCATTTTTGTAATTGTGCACATCACCAAGCAGGAAGCTAGCGTGGAAATAATATTGATATGATATGATATGATAATTATTATTATTATTATTATTACTATTATTATTATTATTAAGTTGGGAGTTTGAGGGTTCTGCGCAGTATCTTAGCTGTTCCTAGGACTGCGCTCTTCTGGACTGAGGTTTCTGATGTTGTTCCTGGGATCTGTTGGAGCCACTCCCTCAGTTTGGGGATCACGCTCGCCTTGACCTTCCACATCTGCTCCAGCTGTTCTTTCAACCCTTGGTACTTTTCAACCTTTCTTTCGTCTCTGTTCTTTCTTTCTGATGTTGGCATCTGCTGGTATGGCCACATCTATCACCACAGCTTTCTTCTGCTCCTTGTCTACCACCACTATGTCCGGTTGGTTGTCCAGGACCTGTTTGTCAGTCTGGAATCTGAAGTCCTGTAGCACCTTGGCCCTGTTGTTCTCAGCCACCTTCTGTGGTGCAGCCCATTGGGATTTGGGTACTTCTATTCCATACTGGGTACAGATGTTCCTGTACATTATTCCAGCCACTTGGTTGTGTCTCTCCATGTACGCTGAACCGGCTAGCATCTTACACCCTGCTATTATGTCCTGGACTGTCTCAGGGGCATCTTTGCATAGTCTGCACCTGGGGTCAGATCTATGGGCGGCTGTGGCTCAGAGGCAGAGCAGGTCGTTCCTCAATCGGAAGGTTGTGGGTCCGAGCCCCGGCTCCTGGTGCCACATGTCGAAGTATCCTTGAGCAAGATACTGAACCCCGAATTGCTCCCGATGCCGTGCATCGGTGTGTGAGTGTGTATGAAAATGTATGAGTGTTAGTTTCTGTTCAATGGACTTTGCCATCACTGAGTGAATGTGTGTGAAAGGGTGAATGTGGCACGTAGTGTAAAAGTGCTTTGAGTGGTCGGAAGACTAGAAAGGTGCTATACAAGTACAGGTCCATTTACTCTTGTAGAGTTTGGCCTTTATGGCTCTTGTACCTAGGGCCTGTTCTTGTGCTGCCATGATCAGTGCCTCTGTGCTGTCTCTGAGTCCAGCCTTTTCCAGCCATTGGTAGGTCTTCTCAATATCAGCCACTTCTTCAATTTGGCGGTGGTACATGCCATGTAGGGGCTTGTCCCTCCAGGTTGTCTGCTCCTCTTCCTCCGCACTCTTATCAGGTTTTTGTTGCCTGAGACATTCACTTAGCAGTTCATCCTTTGTGGCCATTTTTCTGATGTACTCTTGGATTTTTGATGTTTCATCCTGGATAGTGGCCTTGATGCTCACTAGTCCTCGGCCTCCCTCTTTCCGCTTAGTGTACAGTCTCAGGGGGCTGGATTTGGGGTGAAACCCTCCGTGCACGGTGAGGAGCTTTCTTGTCTTGATATCTGTGGCTTCTATCTCCTCCTTTGGCCAGCTTATGATCCCAGCAGGGTATCTGATGACTGGTAGTGCGTACATGTTGATGGTTTGGATCTTGTTCCTGCCATATATGTGTGTATATATATATATATATATATATATATATATACATAAAAAAAAAAACACACATATACATATATATCTCACAGCACAGCCTTTGAATTAAAAGAAGAAACGCATGTTTATTTCAATCATTTATTTTAGAATAGCTCACATGCTACACGATTTGGATTCTCTATAAAAGGTTGCATCCAGTCCACCAACAAAGCATAGTTCCTTACATTAGCTCCAGTGGTGATGGGTATTGATTGTGTCAGCCGGGTTTATCTATACAGCATCTTACACCAAACCTAACAATAAGACATCCAACACAGACAGCAGATATCTGGTTACACTGAAAGGTTTGATGAAAACACAGAATCTGCTGGTGAGAGACATTTCAGAGTTCTTGGATGTGATCCTACATAGCAGATCTGCAATTAAATAAAAAGGCACAAATAAAAGAGTAAAAGGAACGTTTAGGGAACCCCTTTACCCTGACCACACCCAATACTGTACTTCTTCGGATGATCTCAAAAGGTTTCAGTGAGATCTGCAAGATTATACAAGTTCAAATGCATGACCTTCAAAAGATTTCAAAATAAAACTCCATTGATTTCATTACCCCTCCACCACAGCACTATCACACATAGGACACACAGGAAGAGGCATGTAAACACATAAATGGATTTCCCCTTTCAAAACCAGTTCTCCAGCCTCAGTTTAACTAATTATTTCTATCATGTGCTCATCGTGTGTCTGCAGTGCATGTACACATTTATGACACCAGTCAAACATGTTGTCTGTTTGGGTCAGTTCAGTACAGTAAAATACAGTATAATGCTGTATGTGCAAAGTAAACTCAACACAGCTGTAGTTCTTTGCCATGAAACCTTTCGTCAGGCCAAACAAATACACAAGTGCATGCATGGATCGATTTTAAGTCTTAAATCTGTAAGTTAGTGACAGCTGAACTAAAACATTCATAACCACTACGAGTGTGTGTGTGTGTGTGTGTGTGTGTGTGTGTATGTGTGTGTGTGTGTGTGTGTGTGTGTATACCGAAAAACATTCAGTATAATACATGTTTGAGTTCTGTTATATATATTTCTCAATTTAAAAAAAAAGTGTCATTTCTTTGTGTCATTTTAAGACAAGATGCACCATTTATATACATTTACTTTACAACTGCAGTTTTATGGAGTTTTGTAATTAAAAAAAAAAATAAAACAGAGGGAGACACTCTGTGTGAACAACTCTGCTGCAGGAAGTGCTGCTTCACATCTCTCTGGATTTTCTCTTCCATTTTTCTGTCTCTGTGTTTGTCTCAGTTCTGCCATCCTTTGTCACCCGTCTGTCAGAAGCAGAGAGTCACCTACTGACCAACAAGCCGCCTCCATGATAGCGACTGCTCACAGTATTTTCGTCACTGCTAACACTTCTTTCTGGTCCTTTGTTTGTGGAATGTCAACCCTCCATCCACTGTTCTGGGTCGCGTTACTGTTGTCCAGGTTCCTCCCTCTCTGTCCCCGCCCTTAAATCTTTCTTTGCTTCCCCTTCAGTCCAGCTTGCGTGCGCCCAGTTTGAGAGGACCCTTAGCAGCTTTGCGCTCTGCCCGTTTCGCCTCCAGCTCTTTCCTCCTCTCCTCCCGTTTCTTCTTGGAAAGCTCGGCCTTGCTGAGACCTGGAAGGTAATGAAGACAGACAGTTCAATGCATACAGGCATACACTCAGATAGTTAATGGTGTAGATGAACACAATAATACTTCATTAGTGTGAATACAGAAGAAGTTCAAGTGAAGGTTTTGGGACATATAAGAAGAAATGTTCCAGTGAAGTCACACAGACGGTTAGTTTTTTATTACTATTTATTTACTTACATAGTAAGTGTAAATGAAACATGCACCATCTGTTTGCAGCTCATTTGGGGAAAACTAATGATACGGGGAGCCAGCTGAGACTTACCCTGGTTCCCATCCACTGACTCCCAGCTCTCCTCAGCTCCCCAGTCTCCTGTTGCCTCGGCACTCCAGCCATCTCCAGCCTGACGGGGAGAAGACACAAGAAAATATGAATGAACTGAAATGCTTTTTTAAAATATATATTCCTGACCTTTTTTACTTAGACAACTTGTGTGAAGAAAGAATAAAGTTTTTTTTAAACCTAATTTACAGAAATAGTTTGATGTTTATCAACACCACTCTCATGTCTAGACCTAATATAAAGCTAGAGCCAGCAGATCAATATACCTTTTTTACACCAACATTAGTGCGTATATGCAGGTTTTTAATATGCAGGTTAATCTGCTAGAAATAAGCGACTGACTCCTTTCCATTGCCAGTTCGCCTGTGGGGGTTTCTTCTTCCTGATGTGTCATGTTCGATGTCACTAACAGTAGTCTTCCATAGCCAGACCCATCTCTCATATCTAATCAATACTAATTCAATCTGTTGCCCTTCTGTCTTTTTGCCTCCCTCTGTCCTCACCGTGGTGGCAGCAGTGCTGGCTGTGTTTCTCTGGGACACGCTGGCGAACAGATCATTCTGACCGGTCCCTATGGCTGCGTTGCTGCTGTCCCAGTTGTAGTCGCTGGCTAATCGCACTCCTTCGGGCAGGGGCAGCGTTGAATTGGTCAAGGTTGTGTCCGTGTCCTCCTCCCCCCAGTCGTTGCCCCAGCCTTCCTCGCCCGCAGAGCTCTGTCCCTGCCCTTCCTTCTCGTTGGACCAGCTGTCATCGGCGTCCCAGCCTGAGCTGCTCCAGTCAGAGCTCTGCTTTTTCACCGCCGTGGAGGACGACGACCGGCCCACCTAGATATTAGAGAGATGATAAAAGAATGAAATGGAGACTAAGTGAAATAATAGAAACAGCAGAAATGTCCTCCATATATAGAGAGAACACACACTACAAAGTTCTTGAACTCTTTTATCATTATTACTCAGTAGTAGTGGCAATGATATCAGTGGAGCAGTATTAGCACTAATGTAATATAACTGTATAATGGGTCCAAATTAAAGGGCTCATACTCCTCTGTCACTGGCCTTCTTTTTGGATGATGCCATTCCTGACCAGTCAGTGTTCCAGTCATCTGCTTCAGGTTGAGCTTTCTCTGTCTCCTATAAGTAAAAAGAACAATTTATGATACTCGTTTATTCTAAATGACAATTATGTAACAACATAATATCACATACACATATGTATCTCAATAATCATTTTAAATTTATTTCAATCAATCAAAAGTTGTGCAATCATACATCCAAACTTCCCCAGTCCTCCTCTTCATCCCAGCGGTCTCCTATTGGCTTGTCATCATTGTCCGCTACTTCAAGAGTCTGTGATTGGTTGGCACCACTAGAGGTAGCGAGGTGAGTCCGAGAGGCTTGTGGAGTTTTAGCTTCAGAACCTGTCAAAGAAAGAAACAAGAGATAAGGTTTCAGACAGAAGGGAACCGATTATACACAGTGTGTTTACACGTCTTAGGGGTTACTACATATGCGAATATAGTAATTTGAGCACCAGAGGGAGCCGTGCAAAATCTGATAAAATGCTTGAGTCACTTGAGTCAGTGTTGGTTGGGGCTGAAGATTGAAAATGAAAAAAATCTGGTAGTGTGGAGTTAGAAAGAAGTGAATTTATCAGACTTCTGTAGCCCACCCATCACCCCTGGTTAACGGATCACAGGTACACTAGCTGCTGCTATAAAAACACACTCAAATCTCAGATCAAACTGTCAGCGGTCAAACTGCATTGTGGTTAACGTAGGCGTCAGGTTTTGTCAACGAAGAAGAATGTGCGGAATAAAAAAAGACAATACCTCTGGTTCTGCTGCATCGATTTCAACCCTCATTTCAAAACTGTCCGTCGTGAGTCCAACAATGTTACAGGAGTCAAACAAATCAACTGTGATAACCCTACCGGGTGCAGGTGCTTCATCTGTGGCACTGGTAGGGCTGGTGTCGTTGTCGGGCCCACTGCCCTCGGCTGCTGCACCCCCCTCTGTCCCTGGAGCGTTGCGGATCAGCTTAGACGTTAGCGAGGACATACCGGTCACTGCCCAGCCGGCCCAGCTGGAAGAAGCACCTGCAGCCTGAGCACATGATGCTACGTCCTTTTCTGCAGGACGGACAGGAGAGAGAATATTTTTAGTTTCAGATTTTTAGAAATATAACTCAAAGAAACGTGTCTATTCATTCTGCTAACGATATGTGACTCAGCAGCAGAAGTATGTGTGTTTCGGCAGCACAGTGTGTTACAGACCTATATCAGCCAGCTTAGTGGGGTCTTCTGACACAGTCTCCAGCTTGGTAAGGAAACTCTTAATGGCTTTGAATGCCTGACAGAGAGAAAAAGGCAGTTGAGAAGAGAAATGCATCAGTATATTCCAGAGACAACAAAAAAAACTCTACAGAGGTTAAACATCACTATACAAGGTTGACCTTATATGCCAGTATTTACTACTAATTAGCTTGAATCCTGCCCTGTCTTTCTTTATTATCTTTATTCTAGGACCACACTGACTAAAAAGAAATTAATGAATTTTACTGCTGATAAACAACAATCTAAATAATAACTGTCCATTTAAGTCATAAGAAACACCATGTAGTCACAAATCATGTGTACCTGGTCCCTGACGCTCTTATCGGGGTCAATAGTAATGGCACAGAGGGTGGGCAGGATGCGGGCTGCGATCTCTGTTACGCTGTAGTAGTTGTGTGTGGCGGCGAAGCCCAGTACACCAGCAGAGCGTGAAGCTGGGAAAGGGTCTTTAGTAGCTCGAGAAAAGGCAGAAATCAAAACACGTTGTCGAGTCTGCAAAGAGAGAAATAACCAAATTCTTCCATTTGAACAGATTCTTTACTGAACTTTGGTTTACTAGTTTTTTTGTGTACTATGTACTGTATACTATACCCCAGCGTTGAGGTAGGAGGCAATCTTGCCCAGGCAGACGGTGGTGTTGCACCGGATCGGGCCTTGTTCGTCTCTGGCCTGCAGCCGGGCAAAGTGACGCATCAGCTCCTGGTTCAGGTTGGTCTCGTTCAGCTTGGGAGCCAGCAGCAACATAGACTGGAGGGGAGGAACGGAGAAGAGTTGTGGCTACAGCAGACTGACAACAGCCAGTAGATAAGTAATAACACCTCCTGGTCTGTAGTTGTGTTTAAGCATGTGAACTACCTTAACAGTCTGTTCTCTGATGGCGGGGTTGGTGTCTGTGAAGCCGTGAACAACATGAGGGAAAATCTGGGAATTAACGGCCGCTTCGTTCAGATACTGAATGAACTGCTCCATCTGAGAGAGAGAGAGAGAGAGAGAGAGAGGAGAGAGAGAGACAGACAAAGAGAGAGAGACAGACAAAAAGAAGAAACAATGTTGGAGAAAATAAATGCTTTTATTTTTTAAAACAGGCATTTAAATGGTAAATAGGGATATAACTTCCTGTTAGTTTTTTTTAAATCCTACATTTAACTGATATTTTTCTTTAATTGCTCCAGAGCTGAAAAGTCTTGCTGGATGTTACGTGGAAAGTTAAAGATAAAAACTGAATGAGTGTGGTTTTCAGAGGCTAGATGAAATAGGCCTCACATACCTGCTGCAGCAGTCGTATCCTCATGGCTCTGTCCGTGGAGGAAAACATCTTCACGATAACAGGAATGATCTTCTGCTGGTACTCCTCTGCCGACAGGAACTTTCCCACCTGGGATACAGACAGAGGCAGATAGTGGTTAGAGGTGTAACTTCCAAATGGGGTCTCAAATGAATTGTGCAAGAAGATATTGATACCAGTGTAACTGGTATCAATATGTGTCTCACTCTGACTTTGTTTTCCTTGTTTATGTTTAACTTTGAAAATGATCAGAGATGCTTGGAAACGCTGCAGTCTACAATCTGATATTCAGTAAGGTGTGACAGTTGCCCAGGGAGATAAGGATTCACCTTGAAGAGCGGTGTGAGGACTACGGCTCCCGCATTGCCAAACTCAAAGGCGGTGAGCAGCTGAGGCAGCACCTTGTGTTTACAGAAGTCTTCAGGGAAAGAGTCCAGATTGTCACTCAGATCCTGGAAGAACTGCTGCTTCTCAGCTGGCTCCTTGATCTGGAGAGAACATTTGAATTTTCCATTATTATTATAATCTACTATACAATTCACTATTATTATACTAATATATTAAGCCTGTTAAAACACATTTCTAATAATAATAACTAAAGGCTGTGGGTACTTGCTGGTAATTCCTCATAAAATTAAACCATGTGGCCATAAGAACTTGATCCGTTTCTATGCTGCAGTTTGATTGTAGCACTAACACAAAAACCCCTGTTATACATGATAAAGTGTGTCTTTATGAAAGTCTGTGGACCTGTATCTCTTCCAGGAAAAGGTTGCTCTCCACAAAGCTGTTGCTGAGGAACCCCCCAGGGGCTCTAGAGTTCTGGAGAAAGCGGGCTGGGTTGGGCCGAGCTCGGGGGTTAGCCCCCACCAGCTCACAGTAATGAGGGACCAGGGCCTTGGGGATCTGTGGGCACAAAGAGGACACCAGTCATGGTCAGGACATCACCACTTCTCCATGTCACAAACAAAGATTCCTTTTAGCTGTGACTGAAACCATGAAGAAACCGTAGGTTAAATTCAGTGCTTGAAGGCAACTTAGCAAGAACATTATGTGTCTTATTCACCGTCTCTGCTCATGTGACAATGTTTCTTCTTTAGATGAGCAAAATATCTGCCCCTTAATGCAAAATAAACAACAAAATACACCGACTATTCCTAATTTTTTTTAGGAAATGTTGAATATGAAAAGTTTATGCGACACCACCACAAAACTTGTTCAATACCGATAACAACAACCTGAAGTATCTTTAGAACAAACAAAAGTAATCTATGAACTGAAACAATGAGAGTGGTGCGGTAGATACACAAAGGAACTGTCCAAGTGTCTTACCTTTCCCAGAGAACGAAGGGAGGACGTGCGAGGTAGAGGCCCGTTGAACACCTCCCAAATCAGACAGCCTAGCCGCCACACCTCCCCCGCCCTGTAAAGAGCACACAGTTCAATACAAAAGTTCCTACAGAAAACTTTAATATCACACCGACACTTTACTCAGGTATCTCTACATAGTCCTATTATGAACCTCTTCTTTCTGTAATCTCTGCAAATATTCATGTTTCTGTTCCCCTTTACTTCCTCTATAATATATTAGTATTATTCTGATTATTCAATTTGTATGTTTGTGGTTTTTTTACACGTCTCTTACCATTTCTCTCCGCTGCTATTGGGCATCTCTGGTGGGTCATATTTCTCCATCTCTGGGTAAACAGCCTTGGGAGCAGGTAGTGAAACCCCGGTTGGGTCTCCCTGCTCAGGTACCACATGGTCTAAACCCCCGAGCTTCCACTCCCCAGCTCGATCCACAAAAACAGACCATACACCCAAGTTGTTATGAAGCAGGTGGCAGTCGTTGACCAGGAAACTCAGAGCTTTCTGTGGGGGAGTAAGTGGAGTAAGTGCTTAGAGAGGACAGGTGACAGAACTACGGCTCCCCTGAAAGTATCGGACGGCTCCTATTCTTACCACTATCTGGTGCAGTCCCCAGGAGACCTCCAGCTCCCCAGACCCCCCCTTCTCTGCCTGAGCCTTCAGGTGGACTGCCAGGGGTGTCACCTGTTCAGTAACCAGGTACAGGCTCTTCTCCGTCTGTGAAACAACAAGTTACTGTTACTGTATGTATTTATTGTTTATGTTGAACAGTATTTCATAAGAAATACTGTTTCACCTCAGACTTCTATTAACAAGCAATTAATGTAAATACTGAATTATTACCCAGACCTACTTATCTTAACTTAACTTGTGGTAGGAATTATACTATACTTTGGACTTTGGCACTTTTCATGCATTCTGATGAGTGGAAAGCAGCATCTTTGGACTATTGACTAGAACAAACATGGACATGGAGGAAGACAATGAACGCACATTGTCTCTCTAGCCAGTAATACACTTAATATTTCTCTCTATATATTTGATTTTCAATTCATTATTTTGGCAAAACAGGTAATAGATGAACCAATTTCAAGAGTGTGATATTAAAAATAGTACAGCACTACTGGACTATAAGTTGCGGGGTATTTATGATCGTGTTGAGCCCAAAAAAAGAAATAAAACAGTGCTTACATTCTGTCATACACTACTCACTATACCTTCTGTACAAATATTACAGGCCAACGGTATTCACACTCACCTCTATCTGAACGGAAACATGCAGAGAAAAGCAGACGATGGGGATGAGACACTATATATGTTAGTTACATGACAACACACTCACTATTATTCTCACTCAACAACGACAGTGTGTGCAGAGCCACAGACCACTCACTCACACTCACAGATACAGATACAGATACATACCTCCAATCCATCGACATAAGCCAGGATGTTGGGGTGACGCAGGGTCTTCATACGCTTGAAGGCAGCCTTGGCCAGCTGGGTTTGCTGCTCTGTCCCCTGTGTTACCTCGTACACAAACACCGACACCGGCTCTCCATTGGTCTGAGGACACAGGTTGAGGTGAAATCAGTGACTCTAATGTGAAACTTCATCATATTAAACACTTCTGCTTTGCAATCAAAATAATCAAAAACAGTAGCTGAAAAGTCAAATACACAACTCTCATATCTCCTCATATGATGTTTAATGCAACCCCAGTAACCATGATGAAGCAGGAAGCTGGTGGTGGGCTGTCAGCCCCCGGCCCTGCAGTGACACACACTGACAGTACAGACTGATAATAATGAGGACAGTCGGATATGTGAGCTGCTGATGGCGATTAGCGACCAAACCTTCATTAAGGTGATAAAGGATTAGCTTGAAAACGATTATAATGAGAGTACAGTTGTTAAGTGGACAGGGGGGGAAAAAAACCGGGTGACGTGGCGAGAAATACGTGTCTGTCTCTCGGAGTAAACAAAGCCCGAGTTCACTTCTTTAGCGAAGAATAACGAACACAAAGAGCAGCCGGGACGAACAGCGAGGAAGAGGAGGGATACACTGACATATCTAGATAACAGCGGAGGTCGTGTATTAAAGGATAAATCCAAGTAGCGAACAGACAGTAGCTTGTCGGCTAACAAACAGGCCTCCACAACGAAGCGGGCTGACTTCAGCCGTCAGCGGGGGATCGGCAGCGCTCCGCCCGCTTTTACCTTTCTCTTCCCCCGATGAAGAGTCCATATTCCAGACTTCTCCTGGCTGTCTGGAAGCAGTTCATAAGCAAAGTCTTTGACAGGATCCCTGGCGAAAAAGGACCACATCTCCTCTTTCCTCCACACCTCATCAAACACACTCACACACACTCACTCACACACACAGCAGCAGGACAGCTACACAGACTGCTAGCTGAAGGAGCTAACTTGCTAGGGTATGGTACGGATGTATAATGGCTCCGTGTAAACTCTGTTTGTGCACATTGGTTCCGCGATGGGTTGATTTTTGGTATGAGATAATGGCATTGTAAGAAAGAACTACATTCGCAAATTGAACCTTAATTATTTTTGGATTAATTGATTTTATTTATTGGACACATGACACATGCACCATTCTGTGGTTTTACAAAGCACAGCAACAATCTATATTATCTTATATTTTCTATTGTGTCTTTATAATATTATTATTTTGTGATTCTTTATTGTACTTTTACACTTTTTGCACTACATTCCCCTATGCTGCTGTGTCTGACTTGAATTTCTCCAATCAATAAAGAAACATCTTATCATATTTTATCTTATCTTAATAGCCTGGATGGCCACATGACAAATCATAATATACAGTTCCACACATTCAAAAAGGAAAAAAAATGTCAAAAGATTACATTTATTTCCATGACCAAAACCTCTTATTATGCTGGATAAAGCATGCTCTCTGTCTTAAATGCTGTACATGTTCTGTCAGTCTTCAATCACAAATCTCCATCTTGAAGATCAAACTCAACATTTCACTTTCAGACAAGCAAAACAAATCTCAACAGCTGGTTCCTCAAGTCATTGTATGCATACTTAACAACACCAACATAACAGAAAACACATTAGTGCTGCTCTTTAGGAATACCTTTATTTAATAATGAATGAATTAATTCTTCTCAATATGTCTCTGTCATCTATCATCACCATTTATCATATTTATCATCAAGGTAAAGTCACAAATGTTTCATCAGATACTTTTCATTCATTTCACACATCAGACCATGGGTGTGTATTTGAGTAAGATGCAGTGTCAGAGATCGCTGTCTGATAGGATTGAGTTATTCCTGTCTATGCTACAGTGAAGAGTGTGAAACCTATGAACACAATAGTCATTCTTATACATTATCATTGGGCTAACATCTGGTCAATGAAGTAATAGTGAAATTAAAGTATTTCACACACTTTCTGGGGTTCGTAAGGGGGTCCCAAAAAATTACCCCAGGTTGAGAACCACAACTGTAACTTTAAATTGTAAATGTGTGTTTAATCAAATGACCACAAACAGTGGGTGAGAGCCCCTGAAATATTTGTTTTGCCCTCCTTTAGGATCTCACTTAAGGATGGTATTAATGGTTGTTAGTATTTACAGACTCTTTTAAACACGGGGGAACAGGACAAAGTTGTTGTGCCAAATAAACAAAAATGAACACACCAAAGGTTAAGCTTACTTTACAAAAACAAAAGAGATATAACACCCAACACGACTGTACATGAAGGGCAAACAGATGGTTCCTCCAAACAGTAACAGGCAAAGGATCCTACCACTGATCAGTATTGTCTGCTCTTTGGACACGTACCAACAAACTGCTTAAAGCTCCAATAGAAACATCATTGTGTGTTTGTGCTGTGGTGGTCTGGGTTTCAGGGCATTTGTAATCCAGGTATGCCATCTAGTTGTTCATTAAAAGGTCCCCAGCTAAAACTTTTTCATTTTCAGATATGAAACAAAGCCAAAGTAAATGTATCCCATATAACAGCACTATAGGAGCTGGAGAGTCTCTGGTCTGAGGATTTATCTCCACTGTGTCAGTTTGATCAGAGTAATTGATTGTGAATTATTAAGTGAACACATTTGCAGAACAAGATACTGCTATGGGAACAGGTTTAGTTATTTTAGTGTTTCAGTTTCATACATTATGTCTCCACCTTATTTACAGTTTCTTTCTCTGTAGTGTCACAAAAACAGATGAGTTCAGAAGGAACCTTAATAATTTAAGTAGAAACATAACCAATGCAGTTACTTTCACACAGCTGTACTTCAGAGTACAATGAACATCCAGTCACGCTCTGTGACATGTAGAAAACTACCTTGTATGTGTATTCAAGCTACTTAAATGACTGATGGTATCCCTGTTTTGTTCAGTTTGTTTCATTGGCACATAATTCACGCTGTTAAATTTGTAGTTTTGTACTGCATATACATTGTTTTAGACAGTAAGATATTCCGCTGTACTGAACAAGTTATTGGCTTTATAAGCCCTCTGAGCAGGTTCCATTAAAACAAACCAGAGCTGATATATATATATATATATAATATAATATATATATATATATATATATATAATATCTTAATGGCTCTGAAACAAAGGAGTTTTGAATTCTCCTTATTAGATACTCACAATAACTCATATACAAAGATTTCTGTAAACAATTGACTCTTCGACTACATAGAGTACCAGGATTTCTGCAACATTCAATTAGGTGTTAGACTTTAATAGGATAAAATGGAATTTAATACCTTGTTCATTCATGTCACTCAATGATGGAAAAGCAATAGAATATACAAACAATTTATTGAGTATACAGATTTGACATTATAAAAATCACATGTCAGTACTTCCCAGCTGTACAGAACAATGTCTAATATAGTTCAAACATGACCTAATGCAGATTTGTGGTAGAATATTTGTGAATGAATTAACAAGTGTTGCTAAAATTTCAAATATGCAATTGCAAACACTTATATTCTTTAGTAAATGTTTCTTTAAAATTCCTTTACAAAAATCACCAATTTATAGAAAAATTTTCTAGTTATAATCCCTCTACCTTCTATCCAGTCACTGTCAAACAGATTGTCCTGATCTTATATTACAGATAATTAACCTCAGTTTCTGCAGTTCCCTCATCTATTAAATGTCAAGTGGACTTATACACGTTACCCATACACCCCCAATCCTAGACCTGACCAGGACCTTGAGCACCCAAGATACAACTCAAAAACTGAACCATCACCACAACATTATGACATTTGACTTTTAAGGGTGCTATGCCAATTAAGTTGTCAGATAAACTGGTTGTAAAACTTATTTCACTTTGACTAAATCAGTTTTCCCCACACAGCATACTAAAAGCAAGACACCGCAGGGGATTGAACCCTGTCCCGACAAAGTCAGGAGTGCCACCACCGGAGTCTTTTGCTTTTTTGTTGCTGTTAAAGGGCAAAAGCAAAACATGGAGGAACAAACCCGGAAGTTTGTTCCTCCATGAAAAGAAAACCCCCGAACACCTGCTGCTATATAATCCTGTCACCACATGGGGATTTCTCTTGGACACACGAGGCTGAAACTAGAAGAAACAAACAACTGGTTTCCCCAATCCCCAGCATTCCCCACGACACTGAATTGTATGACTGATTCCACGATGTCCTTTTATCCATATTTACAAAGCCACGATACCAGCATCCCTGGTGATACTCAAAGCAGTTTTCCCCTTTGTAATTCGGCTGGGCTCACGGGTGAAAACGGACAGTGAAGGCTTTCTTGCAAAGTTTACAGCTGTAATGGAAAAAAGACAGACAATTTAAGCCTCCCCACCCCCCCTCCCACATGAACCCCACACTTAACCCAATATGACAAATTATGCCAATATGATGGCGTTTACCGCGACTGGCGTAGCAGCATTTACCGAAGCTATTCTTCCTCAGTGATGCGCAATTCTTCAAAGTATTAAAGATTGTACCCTAGAGGCTGGCTGTACCAAGTCATCCCGTGACTCCACGCAGAGGTTTAAGTCGCCTGGCTCAGTTTCAAGTTAAGCTGAATGAGAAATCTGAAAGGAAGAGAGAAGAATGTTGCCCCCCCAAAAAACCCTAACCAAATACTACTGCAATGTTTGACAACGACTTCATGAACATTATGTTGTGTATTACAAATAAAATGTTATGCAGAGCTGATGTGCATGCAACATGTTGAGTTACACATTAAAGCCATGGTATGTTAAAGAAAATCAAGGGAACCGAAATTACTTAACTTCACACCCATGAGACTGAAGTGATGCAGTATTAGCGAGACAAGCTTGCAGCTCTTGATCTTAGTGTGACTGGATTCTCAGTGTTCCATCACAGGTTAGGCCATCCCAGATGACAAATTTAAGACAGTTTTTTTTTTTTTTAGGCAATTTCACCTGAGAAACCAAAGGGGAAAAGAAAAAGGCACACACAAACACAGAGCGGGGCTTCTGCGAAGGACGTCGGGGGGAGGGGGGGGTTCAGATTTAAGCTCAAGCGCACAGGGGGGGTTGGTACTTCATTCAGGGGCCACACTCATATTCGCTGACAGCTTCCACAGATGGCTTTGCATTCAGAGGCAGGCGAGATCGGAGCGGACAGACGAGAATGATCTGAAACAAAGAGTGATCTACACAACACACCCACCACACAATACTCAAAGATTCGAGTTCTACTCATCTTATGGTTTAAGATGCAAAGCAATAGGGCCCCGTGGCCAAAGAGGAATATGCTAGTAAAGCATTGTTGTTACTGATGATTTGAGGTTAACATAAAGCCAGTTCCAAGATGTCATTTTGTCAACTACAACATTGCAGAAGTTTATTTTGACAAATTAAGCCAACATCTTACTACATGCTCCAGGTTAGAGGACTTCACTCGTGCTTGAACCAGTCTTGCACTCTGATTTCTGTGAAGAGAAGTGTAGGGATACACCCATCCAAAACCAATGCACAATATAAACTAAAGCAACACATTTGCGCTGCATTTCGAATCAAATCAAAGCTGCACCATGCACAGCTTTCCTCAGCTACCTAAATTTTGAAAACTTCGCACAGTTGCGCGATTCTGAGAAATGGAATGTGACCAACTTGCCACTTGCACAGTTGCGCGAGGGCCAGCAGCTGAGGGCTAGCTGTTCAATCTATATACACACACATCAAAACAACCTGGCTCCACTTGTTCAAACTGCGTGGCGGTTGATTTCAAAGGGCAGGATGATTCCTGTGTTGTCCTAGGTAGACTGCATCCTTGCTGTGGACTGTTCTGAAAGATCAAAGAGGCAGAAAAGAAACACCCCTATGCCCCCCCACACAGTATCGTAGAACTGACTATTGTTATCCTTACCCAAATGCTTTACTGCAGATAACGTCAGAATCAATGAGGGTCCATCAAATCTTCTCG